TAGGTGACTTTCTACCCAGGGGCCATTTCCCGAGTTGTCCGGAGGGGAGGTGACAGAAAAGGCGGTGGTGTCCCAGGTTCTCCCTACTGTGTCCTTCTGGCTCTGCAGAGTATTCTTGTGTCATTTTCACCAGAACCTTCCAGGGCAGAGGCTGCAGGGAGCAAGGGGCAGGGGTGCCAAGCCCATCGGGTGGTGCCAGCCTGGGCACCACCTGCTCATGTTGCTGCCTCCCAAGCAAAGCAGAAAGTTTGTGCGGGCGGCAGTGGAGCAGAGCCGTCAGTGGGGTGCTGACGGGGCACCTGCAGGTTTGCGCCGACAGCCCGAGGCAGAGTGCAGCCTGCTGCACCGAGGAGCGTGCTCTCTGTCTGCAAAGCTCTCAGCCTCCACGCATCTGCCGTGGGCACGGCCGCGCAGCGTGTTTCCAGAGGCGGTTGAGCCTGGGATGGGAGAACCAGCCTTGCTGTGACCCCAGAACACCCTCCACTCTGGGCTTCCCTGGCTCTTCCCCAGGTGATGGTGTGGAATCTTAACAGACAGCTACTTTTTTTCCTGATGTCGTTTCTCAAAAGAACACAGTGTCTGCTTCACAGTTGTGAGGCCCACTGCACAGGGGAGGCGGGAGGCAGCGGACTGGGACAGGGCTTTCGCACACACACCGTGGCACCTGTGGTACGTGGGTGCCATGTGGCGTGGCCCTGTGCTTAGGAACACGGGTGTCAGACAGGCCCAGCAGGGCTGGAGACCTGGCCCCTCCTCGGACAAGTCGCTTGTCCTCTCTGGGTCTCTGCTTCCTTCCCTGGCACAGTGGGACCTCTGAACACACTGGGTGGCGCAGGTGAAGCCTGGCAGGGAAAGCAGTGACACGTGAGGCAAGGGCGATGGGAGGAGTCCTGGTGTGGACCGTGTAGGCCGTGAGCAGCGTGGCCAGGCCCGGGAGGAGCTAAGAGAGCCCTGAGTCCAGGGGCACACCCTGGCATCTGAGCCCTGCTCACCGGGGAAGCACCTGGCACGTGCTGGACAGTGCAGCTCCCCAGCCCTGTGTCTCGGTGTTGTTGGGGTGACCTGGAATCAGGCGGAGAGGCTCTGAGCCCTCACATCTCTCACCAGCTGGGCCGTCACCCATGTGTGGCGTTTAGGGCCTCAGCACAGGCAGTCCAGGAAGAGGGGTTCCCCATGCTGATGGGCTGTGCCCATCTCCAGGTGGGCTGCTTTTGCACTAGCTGATTTGATCAGGGAGCATTTCCTAGGCCGCCTGCTCCCCAAAAAGAAGAGAGCACTTGGTTGGCAGAATTTGGGTGAAGAGTGCACCTGATTGCAGTTTTGACAGGGTGGCTTGGCTCAGCAGCATAAGTGCCTGCCTGGCAAGCTTGAGGTCGTGAGTTCGATCCCCAGTACGATAAAAAGTTTAAAAAAAAAAACAGGGTGGGTTTTCGTGGTGGCCTGGCAAGCAGTGTCCAGTGCTGGCTCGCCCTTGGCTATGAGGGGAAACGGGGCAGGGGTTAAAGCAGGATGTGGAGGTGGGGCCCCTTTGGTCCCTGCTGTGGGGTGCAGTGGGTGCCATTTACTGCAGCCTGGCTGACCATCAGGAGTGCCTGGACAGCCCTCCTCGGGCAGGGCTTGTGAGTGTAGTCCTTCTAGGCGTCCTCAGCCTCTGCGTCCCAGGCCAGAGCACAGGCGCTGTGCACGTGGGCCCCCAGTACTTGACAGTTGCAGTGGAGATGGCAGCTGAGGTCCTTTGGGTGCGCGGCTAGCCCAGTGCTTGCTTGCTTGGCATGAATGCTGAGCCTGCCGTCAGCGGGGCTCCGTGGCTGGAGCAGTAGCCGTGGTCCCTGCTGCTCCGTTCTGTTCTGTGGGTTCTGTCCCTCTGAGGGGCCCTCGCTGGGCCTCACCAGATTCCGGCCACTGTGGTGTTCAGAGTCACACTCTGCAACTGCTTGTCAAGTGCCTGTTGTTTGTGAGGCTGTGTGTTCACCGAGGGGGACAGAACGGAGGAGGCCCAGACTCTGCACTTACAGCTGGAGACCACCAGCAGGCGGTCCCCAGCAGAGCTGCCTCCGGCCTGGCCCGCAGCACCTCAGCCAGGCTGCCAGCGCAGGCATGCCCTGCACTTTCATCACACGCTTTGCTTTGCCCCGCGCCTTCTGCTCAGCTGTGTTCTCATGTTTGCTGTGCTGCCTTGCACAGAGTAGGGGCTTGGTGAATATTGACGTGACCACATAGCACCTGGGAGTGTGTGTGTCTGATAGAGTAGATGACTTCCCGGTGCTGGGCACCGGTGGTGCCTGGGGATAGCTGTGCGGGACTGGTCTCTTACCCTCCGGGAGGCTGGGTCGGGTGCGAGGCAGAGGCCGCTCAGGAGGGAGCGCAGCCGGCAGGGGCAGCATCCACCCAGTGCTTCCCGAGAAGGCTGCGTCCCCACAGGAGACAGAAGGGACAGTGACCATGTGCAAGAGTGCAGAAATGGGCCGTATGCAGGGGCAGCAGACTGGTCTGCCACGGTGGCCAGTGGGGACCACGGCGAGAGTACCTGTCTGAAGGAGCCCAGACCCTGGTCCATAGGAGAGCGTCAAACTGTTTCCTCTGGCCAGCGGTCCTGTGTGCGCTGGTGGGAGAGGGGAGAGGTGGAGAGAGGAGGCAGGGAGGAAGGAGAGCCGGTGCTGCCGGCTGGGCGCTGGGACCAGAGCCTGCAGGTAATCTGGGGAGTCTGATTGGATGTACCTGGCTGGCAGCTTCCAGGGCTGAGCCCCAGTCCCTGGCTGGGCCACCTGCCCAGGAGGCATCAGCCTTATTCCTGCTTTGCTGCGTCCTCTTCCCGCTCATACCCTGCCGTGTGGTCCTGAGGGTCATCTGTCTGTCCCAATGTCTGTCTTCCCCTCGCTCCTTCCTTTGGATGTCTGCGGATCCTCCCAGTGTGCCAAGCGCTCGGAGTGTGCCTGTGGTGCCGCGGGGAAAGGTAGTTTCTGACCTCCCGGGCACACAGACCTAAGCCTGTCAGCATCCAGGGGCAGGGCTCTACTTCTGCAGAGAGAAAGAAACTTTCGGCCCCACTTTAAGGCGAGTCCAGTTCCCTCCACAAGGGCACTGAGCGCCCTGGACATTGAGTGTGTTCCCACCAGGGCGGACACCGAGCTCAGACTGACTCCAGCAAAAGCCATCATGTAGGCGACTGTGCCAGCGTTAGCTCTGGGCAAGCCCAGCCTAAGGCCTGCACCAGCATCACCAGGACCTGGCCGTCCCCGTCTGCCTCCCGCTCCGCTTCCCACTGGCTGGCCCTACGCTGAGGCCCCTGCTGATTCCCCGGATCTTAATGTCATCTGCTTAGCAGCCCCCACAGAAAGAGTGCCTCTTCCCTGGTAGTTCCTTAAAAAGGTGGTGGCTGCGTAGGCGGTGCTGTGCCCCCTGGAGGAGGGCCACTTCCCGATTCCTCAAAGAAGACGAGGCCCTGAGGGTCCTGGGCTGGCTGCAGCCCTGGCTCCTTCGGGGCAGCGTGGAGCCAAGGTGGGGAATGCAGCAGTGTGGCTGCGCTGGAGCGCCAGGCTCCCTGGCTGCAGACACGGTGCCGATCTCTCCGTCCTGGCCCGAGTCCCTCCAAGGTTCGTGTGGTGTCATTATTTTCCCGCAGAGGTGGCATTCATCTGTTTACTCCTTTATTCAATGGCGTGCATCCAGGGAGGGGCTTGGGGAGGAGGAGGGCTGCCCGATGCAGTCAGTCATTTGCCTCTGGCGCTGCAGTGAGACTTGGGTGGACTCCTGCTGTGGGGCTAGAGGGACCTGGTGGTGCGAATGTCATCACCAGTGGGCTGCTTGTCTGCAGTCTGTGCCCCTAGGAGTGGGTTTGGAGACCAGGAGTGGGCACTGTCCGTCCCCTGTAACCTGCTCCCAGGCCCTCTCTCTCCCAATGGTCAGTCACCACCCTGCAGCCCCTGTCTCCTCGCCCTTATCCCCTTCCTCAGATATTTTTATTTGAAACGATGCTCCCCAGATCCTGAGCCTACTCCATCACCCTAAGCACTGCCCTGAGCCTGCTGCCGTCCCTTCCAGCTCCTCCTGAGACCTCTTGGGGGCTGTCCCCTGATGCCATTGCCCTGTGTACAAGCTCCCAGGTGTTAATGCTGCATGCAGGCATGCTGGGAGTCAGATGCCACCAGGACAGGGTCCTGGGAGAGCATGGCTGGACCTGGCCCTGCCTGCCTTGGAGTTTCCAGAGCACTGGCTCCTGAGCCACAGCCCATGCCACCAATGAATGGCAGGGGAGACTCTAAGTGCGTCCCATTCAAAAGGCTCCTTGGTTTGTACCCAGGCTGAGGCCATGAGAGCTAGACGTCTCCTTCGGGGTCCAGGCCATCCCAGTCAGCACGCACCAGGGCAGCGGGAGGGGCATTCCTAACAGGGCTGAGTGGCCCCGCAGGGCACGTGGTGTCACGTGGCAGCCACAGGTTGCGTTACTCCTGTCAGACGGCCAGCACCCTGTAGTGTTCCTTCAGGAGCACCTCACGAGGCAGATTCCCAGCAACTCCGCACACGGTTGCTTTGAGGGCCGGTGGAGAGCCCCGGCCAGTGGCCTCTCCACAGAGAGATGAGCCCATTGCCGGAGGCTGCAGCCTGGTCACCCGCTGGCCCGCACACTTAAAAAGCAGATGACAGCTGAGTGGGTCTGTAAGCTCGCAGTCCAGGAGGTGCCACCTAGAGGTGGGGAGAACGGCTGCCAGCACCCTGTCCTCTCCAGTACACGCCTGTCCTCAGGGACCGGACAGCATTTGCTGACTAGGAGGTCTGCACAGAGAAAGGGCACAGGTCACACCTTCAGGGCCAGTCCTCCGGGCTGAGCGCACCCACACACTCACGTCTCGGGAGGAAGCTGTCGTAAGTGGTGTAGTGTTCTGTGGAGTTACCAGTGTCCGGCTATGTATATGTATTTTTAACTTCTTACAAACAAATGTAGCTTTGTTTGTTGTGTGAACATAGTGCTGGGGGAAAAAAACTAATTTTTCTTTTTGCAGAAAAGCCTGCCATTGCTCCGCCCGTCTTTGTGTTTCAGAAGGATAAAGGACAAAAGGTAAGGGGCCGGTACGTTCCCTTCTCATGCCATGCAGGGGCCCTGCCGCCTCGCCCGGAGCTGGGAGGGAGGGAAAGGCCCGGTGGCTTTGGGTTACGCTGGCGAGGGCTCAGAGTGCGCGGCTTTGGACAGGCTGTGGGACAAGAAGGTGAGAGAAAGGAGGGGAGTGAGGGAGGAGGGCAGCGCTGGCAGGAGGGAACCGGGACCTGCGAAGGCTCTGGGGTGGCCGGGCGGGCTCAGGTGGGCTCGGTGGGTTCTGCCCAGCATCGCTGCACACTTCCGGGAGCCGGCGTGCGCCCCCCCCAGTGTGGCACGGGTGCATTCAAATGATAATGGTGTCTGTGCAGGAAGCCGTCCCAGTGCCCTTGAGTGCTGGTGTCGGTGAGCAGCGGCTCTCGGGTGTGGGTGGTGTGGAGCAGGCCACAGCCTGAGCCAGTGGCTGCAGCCGCCACTGTTGCCTGGAAGCCAGTGCCTTACTCTCCTCCCTGGAAAGCAGGGCCAGGGTTGTGTCAGAAGTCATTTGGTGCCCGAGACAGGGGTGACTAGCTTTTGTGCTTGTTGACCATCTTGGATCTGAAGGGTCCCTTGCCACTGATCTCCCTTGGCTGGACAGGATTTGTGATTTAATACCTCTTAGAGTGTTTTATAGCAACAGAGTACTGTATCAGGCTTTCGGAGGTTCATTTGTGTCATGTCAAGAATGACAGGGTTTGAGCATCCCCTCCACATGGTGCTTGGTGGCTTCCCAGGCCTCTCGGGGGGGGTCCCACTCCCAGCTGGGAGCCGCCTAGGGTCTGGTGATTTGGGGCTGCCAGCAGCACAGCTGCTATTCGTGGGTCCTGCCCCTTGGTCTGAGGAGAGAAGCCCAGGCTTCTCTCTCACTGTGTGGCCTGATTTTCCCAGGCACTGTTCCAGGGATCTGCCAGGAAGGGACAGGAGGGAAAGCGGGAGGGTATGTGTGTGCGTGCGCATGCACAGAGGGTGGGATGGTACTGGAGGGGCCAGCCCCCACCCCACAAGCACCCTGTGCCTGCCTGGGCCAGCGTCTGTTAGCCCTGGAGCTTTTAACAGCGTGGCCTCTTCTGTGTTGGACTTCGTGCCTGACTGTTGTGTTGGAGGGAGCAGTGCTTTCTTCCCGTGTGTTTAGGTGACCTAGGAGGGGTTCCTCCTTAGAGTCCTGTCTCTCCCGGCCCAGGCAACATGGGTGGGATCCACATGGTGGGATCTCAGGGTTTATCCTTTGGAGGGCCCAGGAGTGTGAAAGCTCTCCTTTGTGAAAACAGTATCAAATAATCGTAGGCACTGAGTATGTTTTAGCGAGCCAGGTCATTTCTCTCCAGCGTTTTAGTAGAATTTGGACTCTCAGAATTTTGGATTTCACTGTGATCATCATTTGGACCAGTTTTAGTTTATCTTTTTTTTTTTTAATTTATTTTTTATTGGCACCACGGATCGAACTCACGACCATGTGCTTGCAAGGCAGGTGTTTATGCCACTGAGCCAAATTCCAAGCCCTCCAGTCTTAGTTAAAAACAGAGGTTGGGGGCTGGGGATTTAGCTCAGCGGCATAAGCGCCTGCCTTGCAAGCAGGCAGTCGTGAGTTCAATCCCTGGTACTGATAAAAAACGAAAAAAACAACAACAAAAAAAACAAACAGAGGTTGGCAAGCGAAGCACCCTCAGCACCTTTTTTTTTTGTAAACAGCGTTATTGGCACACCTTCCCTTCTCAGCAGCAGCGCGCGCGCGCGCGTGTGTGTGTGTGTGTGTGTGTGTGTGTGTGTGTATGCATGTGTGTGTGTGTATACAGAGGCCACGAAGCTTGCGAAGTGGAAGGTTGGGTACATGCTGAGGACTCGCATGCCATGGGTTCCAGCTCCAGTGCTAGGAGAAGAAAAGTTGTTGAGTATTTTTTGGGTCTTTCGCAGGGAAGTTTGCCAAGCCCTAAGACAGCTCAAGGAGTTAGTTCTAACCCTGAAGACATCAGGACAGCCAGCAAGCCGAAACCAAGATGTGACGTCTGTTCAGGGGACTCTGAATGCTTTAGAAATGCCCTGTTCCTGGGCAGGACTGTTTGCACAGTTGAGGGGTTTGGCCACAGGATGTGAAGGCCTCCAGGAGGCTTCTGTGAGTTACCCTGAAGGGCTGGCCTTCAGCATGAGCCCAAGCAGCAGCCACCAAGGCCTCCCAGGGCTGGCGGTGTCGCTCAGCAGCGCGGCGCCTGCCAGGCAATCTTGAGGTCCTGAGTTTCATTCCTGGCACAAAAAGAAGGAAAAAAGAAAGGCTGCCCAGTCATTTAGAAATGTGCAGGTCGCGGGTGTGATGACGCACACCTGTGACCCTGGCCCTTGGGAGGCCGGAGGAGGAGGATTGCGGTGGGTTCAAGGCCAGCTTGGGATGCACAGCCAGACCCTGTCTCCAGAAAAAGAAAGAAAAAAATGTAGATTTCTAAAAACAACTGCCCTCCAGAGCTTTAGGGTCAGCATCCGCTTTCGTGAGCTTCCGTGGCAAGATCTGAATGGCACAGGCACCCTCCCCGCGGGACACCCGCCGTGTCCACGCGGGACACGCATCTGTGTGGCCCAGCCTCTCTCTGGCTAGTCAGTACAAGTGTCACGAGAAGACAGCCACAGTGGGGTTTATTTCGGAGCTACAGTGTTTGTTTTCTTGCTCTTCTCTTTTTTTTCTGAGGCCGGTCTTGCTCTGTGGTCCGGCCGGCCTGAGCTCACGCACGCACGCACACACTGCTCCAGGCTGGCCGGAGCTGCAGCTGTCCGCCTGCCTCAGCCTGTGGCGCGCACCATACGCGGCTTAGCGCGGCCAGAGTTGCTGTCGGAAAGCAGCCTGCGGCCGGCCGGCTGCGGTCCTCCCTCAGGGGCCAGCCCCCCGGCCTGCGGGGCTCTTTCGCAGGCTGCCCCCGGCCTTTTGCCTCATCATTTTACATCTGCATGTTTCAAGTTTTCAAATACTAGGAAAAGGCGAGTGCACTGGGAACACTGAGGTGCCCGCCCCCGACTCGCTGTGCACCTTCCTGTGGTAACCGCACTGGCTGTGAGTGGTGCCTGTGTGGGCTGCACTGCGCCCAGGGCCCCAGGCTGTGCCCTCCTAAGCAAATGGGCATGAACTCAGTAACACCCTTTAATATATAGCCTCTATCTTGAATCGTCCCTCAACTGTCCCTCATGACAGTTTTCCTAATTTACTGATCCCCAAAGATCCAAAGTTCCACAGTGCACTGTGAGAGCTACTAGATGGTCTCAGACCACCCAGTTGGCGGTGTGTAAAGAGCCCACTGCTGATGCATGCCTGAGATAAGGATTTGAGATACAAAGACGCCCAGCTGCCAGCCCAGGAGTTTCTGTTTTATTCAATGCCAGGGCCACCCAGAGTGCCCTCTGGAGGCCGATGGATGGTGTCACTTAACCTTGGGACTAGTTGCTAGATCCTTCTGTTGTTCCATGTTAGAAAAAAGGCGGGCCATGTTTACTCCAGTCCTGAGCTAAGGAAATTGCATGGTTGGCAGCCAGCACCAGGATTTCACTGGCTTCCCTGCGCTCGTGCCCCTGGGACGGCCTTCCCTGGACGGTGGGCTCTCCGGTGTGGCAGGGTAAGCCATTCTTCCCAGACTGCCTTGCGCGGAGGCAGTTTCCCCCTTCTTGCTGAGACAGAGTGAACTTAAGCTCCTTTATGTGGGTAGTTTCGTGGTTCTTGGTGACCAAGTCCTGCTCTTAATGGCCTCCCCTTGGAGCATTTCTTAATGTCACAGAGGGGTTTCAAGGGCACCCTGCCAAAGATGATGCCATTTGGTAAACACACAGGCAGTTGCAGAAAGGCTGCATAGCATCATCCATAGTGTCACCGAAAAGGCTCTCCCAGTGTGTTGGCACCTGGCTGTGCTGGTTCCCGTCAGGGTAACCACGAGGCCTGCCACTTGCGAGCTGCTCAGTCAGGTGTATTCCAGGCTCAGCACTCGCTCCCTGCTGGAGAAATGCCGGGCCCAGGTGGGAGGGGCCAGGAGGGTATTTTGTTAAGTCTCCCTCTGCTCAGGCTCCAAGAGGTGAGGAGTTGGACCCCGTGCAACCCCACTGTACCTCCGAGCCTGTCATCAGGCATTGGAGCCTCTCCACTCCAAAAGCAGGAGCTAAAAAGCACGAGTGGTTCTCATTAGAGACAGACAGTGGTCGCAGAGCTCCAGGTTTAATTCTCCCCGGCAGGGTATTAAATCCGGGTCAAAAAGTAGCAACAGAGATGGTGGCTGGACTGACCAGCGTGCCACTCAGAAGGCCTCTGCGTCTCTGGAAGCCCCTGGATAGAAAGAGCTGGCGGTGCTCCTTTGGTGACTCGTGAGACACAAGATGAATTAACGATGGGTTGCTTTGGCTTTCCTAAGAATTTTTGGAAGTTCTGTTAAATCCCCTTTACATCCACCATTGCCTACAACATCTACAACATCACACACTGAAAAAGTAGTGCCCAAGGAGCCAGGCGTGGTGGCCGCGCTCTGCTAGCCTCAGCCGCGCGGGAGGAGCTCTTGAGCCCACTCTGGGCAGTGTGGCAAGAGCGTGTCTTAGAGCAAACCGCCAGCAGCGCCCTCCTAGAGAGGGAGCCTCTCCACACCCGGGAGACGGGGCCACATCAGCAGGGAGGTGAGGGAAGCAGCTCTGCATTTTGGACAGTGCCACATGGGAGGTTTGGGGACCAAGCCCCGTGTCGGGGGCCCTAGCTGTATAAGCCATTTCTCGGGAGAGTGTCTCGGTGTGGGGGTGACAGAGCCCTCGGACCCTGGAGGAACCCCAAGGCCCACCAGGGACACCAGGCTGTCAGACCTTGGGGATGAAGGCTTCCAGAAGCAGCTTCCTCTTCCCTGGGTTTGGGGGTGAGCCTGGGAAAATCCCAGGGGCTCAGGGCATGTGCTTGCCCTTGTATCAGCAGAACCCTGTGATACAGCCGCCCCGGCCAGAAGGCAGGTGTGCCCTCTGGTGTGACAGGAAGAAAGCGTGAGCTGCTGGCTTGTGACATGTGGGTGCCATCCCGCCCTGCCAGGGTCCAAGGCCTTTGGTGTAACAATCTTCTTTCTTTACCAAGCAAGCTCTTCCCCTCCGGGCCCATAAGCAAAGCAGTTCCGTGCCCAGAGGCCCCAGAGCTTTGCAACTGAGGGTCTGCACTTTCTGGATGCCGCAGAGCCCTTTGCAGAATCAAGCACCAAGTCTGTTTTCGTTTTCCTGTTGCTTCTGAGTGCCAGTTCTGTCACTCAAAGCACAGTGGCACATGCTGGCTCTTCAGCCCATCCTCATTCGGGTCAGGTCTCTGGCCCCCTTCCCTGCCCTCCCTGCCCTGTGGTGCAGCTTTGGTTTACATTGAAGGAAAATTGTCTTTTTTTGCTCCCAGTCCTCTGCAGAGCAAAAAAACTTGTCGGATTCGGGAGAGGAGCCTCAAGGTGGGGCTGAGGCCCCCCACCATGGCACAGGTCACCCTGAGTCAGCTGGCCAGCGTGCTCTAGAACCTCCTGCCCCTGCTAGCATGTGGGCCAGCACTCCACCTCCCGCTCCTGAAGCCCAGCCTCCTTTTCTGCAAAAACTGTCAGGGGTAAGTCTGCTGCCCAGGGCCCACCAGGCTGGCCGCTTCCCCGGGCCCCTCCCCTCCAGACCTAGGTCATGAGTTGCCGATGGTCGGAGGTGACAGGGATGTCTTCCGCTCTCCTTAACTGGTACTCTGAAGTCAGGAAAGGCACAGTCCCTTTTTACATGGAGGCTTTTTGATTGGGGGACCCTGTACCCACAGCAAGAGAGTATCCTGCTTGCTCAGAGTCAGGAAGGATCGGAGAAGGAATCGAGCAGCAGGGAGGGCCTTGCAGAGCACCCCTCCTGGTCCTCTTCGCCCTTCCCTGAACGTGGGACCGTAGACACCCGGGAACTCTGGCTGCCTGATGTGGGCAGACGAGCGGTGGACGCCGAGTGCGAGCCAGGCTGGTTGTGGGTTTCTGGGTGGTCTTTTCGGCCAGAGCAGGAAGAAGAGAAGAGAAGGCCCTCCTGAGCCTTCTGTAGCCAGCAGAGTCTGCTGGAGATGGTGAGGAGAAGATGGCCAGCGCTCAAGAGCAAGAAGCATCTCAGGTTTTTGAACTGAGAGACTGGGAAAGGAAAAGGTCTGGTGCTCAGGATTGACTCTCGATCCTCTGGGCGTCTCGTGACAGAAGCCCACTGCCGTCTGACAGAGGAAAGCCCTCGGGACCAGGAGGCAGGGCCTGGCCGTCCCTTCAGCATGGTCCCACAGTGCCCAGACTTGGGTGATGCTTTCCGGTGTGTGCAGAGCAGTAAGATTCAGGGATGGCCACGAGCCCTGGGCCGGGCAGCGAGTCCATCTGTCGTATTTTGGAGGAATAAGTGTGTGATGGGGAGTGGGCTGGAGCTAAGGAGCTGGGCACAGGAGCGCGAGGAGCGCCTGAGAGCTTCGGAGTCGGGCATCAGGAGTCTCCCAGCCTTGGGTCTTGGAGAGCACTGTGAAGGGCTGGGCAGCTGCAGAAAGCAGGTTTCTCTCAGGAGAAGGCGGCAGGGCCGTTGTGGAGCTTTTGTGACAGGTAGCTGCCCTCTCCAGCACTGCTGACAGAAGCCCTGCAGGACCTGGGCCGCACCCTGGGCCTGGCCAGCCCAGGAGGCGCCTCTGTCTGGGGGCGCTGACTTCTTGATTCATGTGGTCATCAGGCAAGAGCTTTCATCATGAGAAATGCCAGCAGGCGAGTGTGGAGCCGCGGGCATAGCTGGCACCTCAAGACTCTGGGCAGCAGCTTGCCGATGGCCCTAAAGACCAGCTATGCAGTACATGTACCCACAAGTGTTGGGGATACCCAGGAGCAGCACTGTCACACCACTGGGTGACAGCTTTGACCCGCTGGCTCCATGCCCCGGGCTACCCTTGGAGAAACTGGTTGCTAATGATTGTAGGTCAGATAGGCCGTCAGTCAAGTCGGAGGGAGCCCGTGTACATGCTCGTGGGCCGAGGCTGTTCTCCAGAGAGCTCGCCTTGTGTCTTTTGAACCCCGACGGATTGAGATTTTCCTCTGCCCGCCCTTGGAGCTTGGAAAGCTCACGCTACTCTCCAGCAGGTCTCACCCATCACACTTGGCGGAGGAATGTAATGCCAAGCATTCCCCATGACGGATTGCGTCTTCCTTACAGACAGCCCGTGCCGTCTTTCAGCCTCATCAGAGTGCTGCCCACTCCTGGCCCGAAGAAGGCCATGCTGCAGATGGTTCTCTGTCTAATGCCGGGAAGGCACGTGGCCCTTGGCTTCTTCCCACCTGCTGGCCCATGCAGAGCTGAACTCCATGCCAGGGGCTGCTAAGCTCCAGTGTGTTTATCGGAACCACGAGGAGCTCTGGAAGGGCTGGGCATGAGCCCCCTGGCTGGGCAGCTGCCGCTGTCTCCAGCTCCCACGTGAGACCCAACCCTCACCTTCCCAGCATGCTGGAGGCGCCTCCTCCGGAAGCGGTTCTCAGCTGGTACAGAGTGCCCTGGAGCAGAATAAACAGCACTCAGGTGGCCCGAAGTCTGCTTTCCCTCCAAGATTGTATCCCCACAGCCACAGGAGCCCAGCCAGCCTTCTAGCTGGTCAGTCCACGTAGGGTCCACTGAGGCGCCTCAGGCCGTGGAGGTGCTGCTTCCTGGAAGGGGTTACCTGGCCTAGCTGTGCATTTTTGGCCTTTTCCAAGGGGTCAGGAGGACACGCCCGTCATTCCTGTCCACCGCCTGTTTCTCCTTGGGCATCAGCCTCTGACAGCGGCGTCCAGCTCCATCCCCTTCTCTGGGCCAGCCTGGTCTGGTCATCCTCCAAGCCACACCTGATGGCCTCACATGAGCTGTGTTTGTGGAAGGAGCGATTCTTGATGTCTAATGAAATTGTTCACCGTTTTGTCCTTTAGACAGAAAACAGATTAGATGTGATCTCCCCTTTTGTACTGGGTGACAGGGACTCAGAGCTCAGCTGCTCCCCTGAGCTGTGAGTGGCTCCCTGGAAAGAGGACTCGGTACCTCGGTACCATGTCTGCCCCACAGAGGCCTGCCAGCCATCCTGTGCTGTGGTCAGTGCAGCCTGGTTTGGGGCTGGGCACTCGGGCTTCTTCCGTTGTGGTCTGCTTTGGGTGTTCCTCCCAGTGCCAGTGTGGAAGGGCACTGTTGGGTCCTCTTTCTCCTCTGCTTTTTGGTATGATTGTCACTCGGCCCTGAAAGGCACAGAGAACTCTGTGTTCCAGGAGCCTTCCTGGAGTCCTCAGTGCTCGCCGGATCTGGGACCTCTGGGACACATCCTGCCAATGTGCTCTTAAAATCTTGCTCACATGTTCTGCCTCGGGGCTGCTGAGCCCTGGCTGCAGGCCCCTGGGACCAGGCCACCCCCGCACATCCCAGGCATCGCTGCAGGTGGACCCTGCACACCCATGGCCTGTGACCCAGGGAGCTACAGAACTGGAGAGCGGCTGTGGGGCAATCGGCCTTCTGAAAGGGAAGCTCCTGTCCAGCAGAGTTGAGGGACGGGGACCAGATGGCAGAAGGGAAACAGGCAGCCATGGCGGTCTCCAGGTGAGGCAGCGTTAGCTGGAGGCGCGGGCAGGGCGTCTTAGGTTCCGTCTCCCTGCTTCCGTCCTTCTGGTGCTGGCCGAGGAGTCTGTGGCCGCAATTTCCTCCCGGCAGATTCTGCCAGCTCCTGGGAGGCTGCCGACGAGTGGCCTTCTGCACTGTCTGCCCAGAACTGAGAGACTTGCTACCTCCTGTAAGCTGGCTCTTGGAAGAGACAGGACGCAGGTTTTTAGGTCTCCTGAGTCTCGTCTGGCCAGACATCTTTCCTTGGGGGTCACTAACAGGGATTAGTAGAGGGCACGAACTCCTATCAGTGCTGCAGATCCTTGCCTAGCATCTTCTGTGCCCAGAACCCCGGGTGGGTATCAGACCTGTGTCAGAGCAGGATGAGATACTCGGCAGATGTGCAAGGTCACTTCCACCTGTGCTAGCACAAGACCAGGCAGGTGGCCTCAGCTTGCAGACCCTGAAACATGGTGTCTCGCCCCTTGAAGGCCTGGAGGAAGAGCGCCCCAGAGCATAGGGGAGCGCACTGAGGGGGACGGCAGCAAGGGGCTGGTGGGTGCCCTGCACGCAGGACCAGGACGTTGAGTGCCAGGGCTGGAGCTGAGACACAGTGGGCACAGAGGAGAACAGAGTCCAGAATGGGAGCTCCCCAGAGCTGTGCGCACACCTCGACAGCCCGGACTGGAGCCCAGTGGCCTCAACTTGTGACTGGGCTGCCCTGCTCTCGAGCGAGGGTACGCGGCACTCCCCAAATGCTCGAGGAGATGCATTCTGGAAAGTGGATATGCAGAGCAGAAGCCCACGGAGCTGCAGGGCAAAACGCTTGCTTTAGCTGGACAGCTGACATTGGCTCCCCGCTGTCCGCAGCTGACATCGAGACGGCACGTGGGTAAGGAAGCAGAGAGGACCTGAGCATGGAGAACCGCGTCTTAGATGGCCGCTGCCCCCGGGAGCCCAGCAGGCTGCGCATTCCGCTCAGGCATGCATCTCCAAGGCTATGGGCTCCCGGCCCCACAGTAAAGTTAGAAGTCACGAGCCGGGAAATGGACACATCGCCAGCCCGTCACGGGTCGTGATGATGGCGAGAATGGCCTTGCAGGAGCTGGGGAGCGGCCACAGCTTGGGGCCTCACAGTGCTGGGGCCCTGGCCCGTCCAGACGTGGCTGTGGCTGTGTGTGACTCCACACGAGGCAAGACACAGGTTTCGGCTGCAGTGTCGGGGTGGAGACCCTTTACTGAACGAACTCCAGGGAACACCTGCTGGGGAGGAGCCTGGCGCAGGTCAGGGGCCACAGTCAGCCGTGTGAGAATCTAAGCAGTGGGACCGTGTGATGAGGGGCCGTCACCTGCAGCGTTCCACGAGGGAGTGGCCTCTCCAGGTCCCCCTTCAGGAAGGGGACATTGTCTGGGGAAGGCCTTTAGAATAAGAGAGCAAAGGGTCCTGGGGCCATGGGACCAGCAACAGTTAGGGGTGGGTGAGGGTGGGATCTGAGGTCAGCTGGCCTGGTGGGACCTGCGTGGAGCACAGGCTGAAGCTAGCGGTAGGGTCAGGATGAGAAAGGTGTGTCCTGTGTCATTTCCCAGAGCCGCAGGGCCTGGGTGGCATAACCAGGTCTCCAAGACACCAGGACCAGTCACTCTCACCTTTGCCAATGTGTTTCTGAGTGGTTCCTGGGACCCATTCCCCATGAGGTCACCTGGTTCCCCAGAGGTGACCCCAGGAGAGGGGTCTGATGACAAGCCGGTGACACGGGTGTCCAGGAGCAGATTGGACCCTGGCTCTGGGCTCTAGCCTCAGAGCACTACAGGAATGAATGTGTTTCTGGCCAGGAGTGGTGGTACATGTGTGTCATCCCAGCACTCCAGGAGGCTGAGACAGGAAGATCACAAGTTCAAGCAATTTGCAAAGAGCCTGTCTCAAAATTTTAAAAATGGGAAACGTGCTGGGGATATAGCTCAGGGCCAAGGCCTGGGGGTTTCCCAGCCCCCACTGAGTCTGGGCTTGAGGCCCTCTTTGTTATTGTTCTTATTCTTGGTTTTCTGAGACAAAGACTGGCCGTATAGCTCAGGCTGGCTTCAAAATCATGGGACTTCCCCTGCCTCAGCCTCCCACGTGTTGGGACCAATGGTGTGTGCCACCGCACCCAGGATAGGACCCTCTTCTTAACCTGGTCTGAGAGTCCCCAATCCAGGTCCTTTACCTGCCTGTACTGAGTCCCACATCCACACCCTGGCTTCTTGGCCTTGTGCCCCTGTCGCACGCAGCCAAGGAGCTGCCATCGCAGAAGACGCTGGCTTGGAGCATGGCCAAGCCAGCTATGTGCCATGAGCACCTGTACGCCCAGGAGCTGAGCATGTGCTCTGCACATCAAGCGCTAGGCCGAGACCGAGCCTGCTTTACCTCTCTGAGTGCCCTGGCACCTGTTTCTGCCAGAGAGCCGTGGCCACGACCCCATGCTCCAAGTAGGGAACCAAAGCTGGGGCGAGGTGAGGGTCCCTAGTAGGAAGTGGCAGAATCCACAGGCAAAGTTCCATGTGCCAGGGCGGCACAGGCCACCTACACTCCTCTCCTGAGCCCCAGCCTCTGCTCGGTGCCCCCTGAAGCCAGCCCACTGGACACCAGGGCTTCATTTCCTACAGACTCTGGCATTTCCACCGCGATCCCAGCCGCCAGCAGGCCTGCCTGGTGTTCAGAGAACTTGGTGTTTCCCCAGCACCTGAGCAGCAGTGACCGCCCAGTCACGCCCATAGTGACCTACGGGGAGGGTGGTGCCCGTCCCGTCACGCAGCCGCGTTCCCTGAGCCATTCCCAAGAGCTCTCGGCTCTGCGCGCCCGAGCAGGAAGCCCAGGTCTGCGCTGCCGTCAGCCTGCCTTGGGCGCCCACCGGGGCGGAGGGAGTCCGGGCTGGGCCTCTGCAGCGGTCTGTGAGTCAGCTGCGTGGCTCTCGTGGCTGCGCGCTCCTGCCCACGGCCTGCTCTTGTACGGCCAGCAGGCCAAGGCAGTGACCACGTTTTCAGAGGACAGTAAAAGCAAAGACTACGGCAGAAACCCAGAAGCTGTGTGTGGGCCGCCGGCAGGGCCCTCGGGGGCACCTCCACTGGGTCACCTCCACCCCTGTCACACGCTCGCTCGCGCAGTCCCCACAGCTCCGCGAGCAGAGGCCCGGGGAGGGGAGGCGCACGCCCCTGCTCTGCAGGGCTGGCTGGAGCAGGCCCCGAGGGAGGAGCCCGGCTTCTAAACTGCAGCAGGCTCGAGGAACAGTGGCTCCGGGCCCCCTTCTGTGCACCTGGGTTGCCCTGTGGTCTGCGGGGTCACCGTGGGCCCCAAGCATCAGAGCTCTCACTTACTCTGGGAACCTTCGCCTGCTTGAGACAGGAGTGGGCCCTACCGGGGGGCGGGACACTGGTTTGGTGCCAGTGCAGTGCCAGGTGGCCTTTCGAACAGTCATGGTGGACGGGGCAAAGCGTGGCTAGGTGGGGTCGCACCACCTTGGTGTAACGTGTTGTGCTGGCCTGCAGTCAGGGCTGTGCAGGGGCTGGGAAGCTGATCCAGAGGACGCTGGGAAGGAGGGCCTGGGGCGTGGCTGGGGCCGGTGAGGTGCTACCTGCTGGGGGTGAGGTGCTGCAGGGGGTGTGGCGCTGCTGGGGCAGTGGCCCAAGCGTCCACCTCAGCCCTGAGCCTCGGGCTTCACCTGCTCCAGAGCCGGGGCCGTGGGCTCTGGGCGCCCTGGCCACTGCTCACCGCCTGCCCGCTCTCGTTTCAGAGGTCAGCGGGAGGCTCCAGTCCCGAAGCAGGAGAAGGTAAGGGAGTCTCCGGCACACTCGGCCAGCTCGCAGGTGAGACTGCCGGAGCCTGACCCTCCGCCCCTTCCTCTCGCTCTGTGCTGCAGATTCCGACCGAGAAGATGGGAATTACTGCCCTCCTGTCAAGCGGGAAAGAACGTCCTCTCTAACGCAGCTCCCCACGTCACAGGCAGGTAAGCGCGCGTGCCCACCAGCTCCTGCCGGGCCACTCGTGGCCAGGAATGGGGCAGAGCCGGCTGCCGTGGGTGCAGCACCCCAGGTAAAGTGTGGGGTGCTGGGAAGCACGGAAGGAGAGCCCCACAGTGAGGGCAAAGGCGGGTAGCCCTCAGGGCACTGGCCGTGGATTCCTGCGCTCCCAGGCCGCCAGCTCTTGCTGAGGTCCGAAGGTAGCAGGGTTAGAAGCCCCGGACCCTGCAGCCGCTGGCTGGTATCCGGGGTCTCGGGGGCAGTGAGACCTGGGAGCACTGCCATGAGCGCCCACCCGCCTCCCGTCGTGGGAGGGTCTGGTGAGGCCTGGTGGAGTTGGGGGACCTGTGAGTGACAGGCACAGGCACAGAGGACAGTGGGCCAGCCCGAGGCTTGGCCTGGCTGGTCCTGGAGAGACAGCCCCTCACAGCAGGGAGAGCCAGGGCCACCTGGTGGGGGGCTCAGAGAGCTGGCCCGCTGCAGAGGCTCCCCTGCGGGCTCAAGGGTCACTGTCGCCTTGGTGTGTGGGCCACACTGGCACGGGCTCCCGGTCCCTGTCTCAGCTGGCTGTGGCGCCAGCTTGGAGGTGCAGTTCCCTGATGGGAATCTGTTCCGGGCAGTTCCTGTAAAGCTCGTTATAGCTCTGAGCCCCGAGGCTGCCCCGAGGAGAAACTGTGTGAGAACAGTTACTGCTCACAGGCACGCACCCTTCGTGTTGTTCTGGGTGCCGCCATGTCCCTGCCTGCAGCCACTCGAGGTGCCGAGTACACAGCTGCCCAGGTTTGTAGCCAGGGGCTGGCACTTCCTCTCTTTGAAGGCTCTGTGTGTCCTGGGACAGGCGTCCCTGGGGAAGGAGGGGGCGTCCCTCCATTGCATTGGCACCTATGCAGTACTCGCTCCCATCCCTGGAACTGGGGACGGAAATAGACTCGTACCTGGAAAGCACCATTCAGGTGCTGCCTGTTGGCTCAGGGTCTCTGCCTCCGTCCGCACAGCGCCCAGCGTTGGCTCCTTGGCGAGTCCTAGGTTGTCGCAGCCCAGGCCAGCTGCACACTGGAGGCTGTCGCTGCGGGGAAGCATGGTCCTCAGCAGATGGTGCAGGAGATGGGCAAGGAGAAGCAGAGGCTGAGGCGGCCTCTGACGCCATGCTGGGGTGCCATGCGTTCTGCTTCCCCACTGGCTGGGCCAGGGCGAGGCCGGGCAGGAGCCACACTGGCATGCAACAGAGGCTGTCAGTGCAGGGACCCTCACTCTGCCCACCCCTGCAGAGAGGTTTTTGTTGAGTCCCGTGCCTTCTCCACGTGCTGTCCCCTCCTGTGCAGGGCTCAGGAACTGCTGGGAGAGCTGTCCCATACATCCACCCAGCACACCTCCTGGTGCACTCATCAAAGTGCAGGGCCACCCGCCTCTCGGATGGAAGGCAGTCCTGGCGTCCAGCGCCCTTTCCTAGGCCCTGCCTGGGTGCTTCCCTCGTGCCAAGCAGGGGACGTTGCCCCATGAGATCTTGCGTAGGAGTGGGCAGAGGAAGCCAGGATTCATTGTCAGCTGCCAGGTGTGTTGGGTTGTCCGTCTTCAACTTGAGGTTTGGAGTCCAGCACGAGGGCCGTCACAAAGCCCAGGGTCTGTTTTTCCTTGCAAGGCCTGATTGTAGAGAGTTTGACATTTCTTTAAAAAACATTTTTTTTGAGGCTGGGCCTGTATTTCCAGTGTTTAGAAGGCTGAAGCAGGAGGATCACCGTGGGTTTGAAGCCAGCCTGGGCTACCTAAGCAAGCTCAAGGCCAGCCTGCACTACATAGGGAGACCCTGACTCAAAAAACAAAATTTTTAAAGATGTACTATACATTTTTCAAGTTTCATACACAAGTGATATATCCCTGCATTCAAGAAAGAAAAAAGTGGCAAACCAATGTGAAAGAAGCCCTGCCTCCCTCCCGCTCACTCTCCCGGCCGAAGGTGAGCCTGGGAGGGCTGCGGATGGTTTTCCCAGGCCCCTTTGCTGCGCGGGGAGTTTCACATCAGTAGCGCCTAGATCTCTTCAGGTAAACACGCCTCACAGAATTTTAAAACATCCAGGAAACAGCGCGATCCCTTCTGGAGAGGTCAGCGTCTGCCTTTTGTGGTTTTTCATTACGGAATCAACTCCAAGGTTTCCTGAAAGTTTCTCCCACATGGCTGAAGTTCCCCATAAAAGATTTAACGAGCGAGTTTAACAGCCCTCCTGTAACCCGGCCTGCCTTACATAAATTCCCCGCTGACTTCAAATGCACTCCGAGTCCTCCACTGGCTGCCGAGGAGTCAATGGCCAGGGCTGGGGAACAGGCGGGGAACAGGCAGGCGCGTTTTGTAACTTCAGGGTCGATCCAGTGGCATGGTTTCAAACATTGGGGTTGATTCTGGCTGGAGCAGAGGACTGTGTGTCACCAAGCCGACCTCTCCCAAGGAGGGCGGGCCCCCAAAATTCGGGGCAGCCATCAGAATGCAGTGCAGGGTCAGGTCCTGCTGCAGGAGGTGGTTGCACACCCTGGGGCTCAGCTCCTGCAGCTGTGGGCTGTGGCTCACTGGCAGCCCCTGCCCACTCTCTCGAGGCTTGTGTCTCCCTCAGCATGAGGACAGGGCCACCATTCCAGCCCGGACACAGCCTGGGCTGAAAGTCCCTGGTCCCCTAATTAACCAGCGGGCACACGGAGGTAGGTGAGGCCACCTGCAAAGCGTGCTTCCGTCCTTCCCCGCCCCCCACCCTCTCCTGCCTCAGCCTGAGCTCTGGGCATCTTAAGCACAGGGACACATGAGTGCCTTGCCTTACAGTGAGACGCTTCCTCTGTCTCCGCCATCTGTCCCTGGGAGGGCTACAGCACAGTGTCCGGCAGATGGACACCCTTGGGGTGTCCACGCTGCGTTCCCAGGGGATCTGTCCCGGGGGTGTGTCTTGGTGACGCATGTCTGTGGTGTGTGCGCCACCTCTGCTGGGCCTCCTACCAGGGTTAATGACAGGCAGCGACCCGTGTGGGCCAGTGGCCTTGTGCGTCATTCAGCAGTTCCGCCCGTTACACAAAGTCGCTGCCCCTCCTCCCTGGTGTCAGCACGGAGACACGGGGCGACTCCAGGAAACCTCGTCTCTCCCGCCTCCGCATCCAGCACTGTCCTCTCTTGAGAGGAGCGTGACCCTGATGTGCCCGTGGCGCCTCTACCTGCCTTGATGAGTGGCTGTGCTGGAAGGACAGACGGCTAGACAGGCCCCCTGGCACCTGCTGACTTGTGCGGTGTGGCTGTGCAGGCTCCTACTTGAAGTGATGGGCCGTGTGCAGTAGTTCATACTTTCATGCTCAGGCCGGCCCAGATGTGGCCACGCAGGAGCCCTGTCAGGGGCAGCCCTGTGTCCCGGGCAGGTCCCCATCGTGCTCTTCAGCATTTTCTTTATGTTCTCCCTGCAAGAGGCCCCACACTTACTCCTGTCCCAGCCCCGAAGCCTCCCCTTCCTCAGATGGGTCCTGGTTTCTTGTCCTGGCAGTGAGTGCTCCCAGGAACCCAGGTGGGTGCTCCATGCCTGGACTGTGTCCCTCCCCGGTGTCCCGAGGCAGCTGGGCACACGCGCGTCTGCGCCTGCGGAGCGGCCCCTCGGCCGGCCTGCCGGTGCTGTACTTCTCCCGGCCACGTGGGGCTTCCTGCCGCTACCGGCAGGTTGCCTTCCCCGGTCCCTGCTTGCTCACGCCCCTTCCCTGCCCCAGCGCCTCCCGCCCGTCGCCTGGCCTTGCACTGGCCACCATCAAGCCAGACTGCCTGTTCTCAGCTGCTTCTCAGCTTCCAGTTTGGTCCCGGTTTGCACCAGGCACACTCCTGACTGAATCCAGAGCTCTCTTCTCACACCTGCTTCCCGGGGGACCGTGGGGAGCTGCAGCTGTGTCCGGGTGCTGGAGTGGCAGGGACTGTGGCAGCCGTAGTATTCCTGCAGAGTGAGAGCAGACAACACGCAGAGGCCGGCGGCTGCCCGGGTTCCCTGCGCAGTGCCCAGCTGCCATCAGAAGTGCCGCACACCTTGTCTGTCTCTCTGTCTGTCTGTCTTTCCACCCACCCACGCGCTGGAGTGCTGGCCGGTGTGGGTCTGCTGTGCTTCTGCAGAGTGGCCCGGGCCAAGGCTTGGCCGCGGTAGCGCTGCCCAGCTGCCAAAGCCTGTTCTGTAGCCAAGACTGCGCATTCCAGCCGGCTCTCGGGCTTCTGACCAATTATCTCAATTGTGATTTTGACCTCAGCCTTTAGAAATGTATTACAGCTGCCAGTCACCTTCTGTGTGACCCAGTGCCGTGGGAGGAGACCCAGCACCACATCTGCTACCTGCAGGGGCCGCCTGGCGGCGTGCGCCTCGGCTCCATGTGCTTCGGTCTTGGGTTCTCGGTAGCAGTTTGTGTGACCACTGGATCACACCAGACGCCTTTTAGTGGGTGACTTGGTGCAGTCATGGAGTTGTACAGCCACTGCCATTATACTTAGCGCTCCTCTGTCTTACCGGAAAGAAGCCCTGGCCCCCCAGACCCTGGCCCCCTCGAGCCCGCTGCCTTCCGTGTCCTGTCCGTAGGTGACGCTCCTGTAGCTCTTTGGCACAACTCCCTGTCACTCCAGTGTCTGTGTCCAGCGGTGTTGCGGATTACAGCCTCCGCTCCCGAAGTTCCCCAGGCGCCTCCCCCTTGGCCGCCCGGGTGCGGCTGCTGGACTGATTTCGCTCAGAGCACTCACCCTGGCAGAGGCGGCAGTGGCCCCGGCCCTGACAAAGACAGGTTGCTCCTGCACTGCACTTGCCCAGGGCGACACGTGGCCTCTTGCTGCTGCTTCCTGCCATAGACCAGCCCCCCACCGCAGACAGGTCACCGGACAGATCGGGGCCATGGACGGGCTCCTAGTGCCCGGGCACTCGCCAGCACGCTGCCTGTCCCTGAGGACGGAGGCACGTGTGGGAAGAGGCAGCCCAACCCCACTACTTTTGTCCTCTCAGAATGCAGGCAGGTCCTGCAGAGTGGCAGGTGCAAAGGCCTTCTCCTGGCTCTTCAGGCCCAGGCTGCGGCCCTGGTGCCCTCCCCTGGCTGCCCACCCCAACAGGCTTGCTTTTTATAGTGTTTTGTCTGTGCTTTCAGAGGAAAAGAGCAGTGGGTTCCGGCTGAAGCCACCAACACTGATCCATGGCCAGGCACCCAGCGCAGGTAGGTGGCTCCCCTGAAGGTTTTCGTGTCCTCCCCAGGCTGCTGACCAGGGAGCCCTTCTGAGCAGGGAGCCGGGGCCTTTTTACGCAGCAGGAGGAGCAACCCTGGGGTGGCAGTGGCAGCACAGCCAGGTCCTCTGTCTCCAGGGGCCACTGCCCAAGGCAGGACCAGGAGCCGGGGGTTGCAGGGAAGCCCCAAGGGTGGACACCCCTCACTTGGTCCTCGCCCCAGCTGTGTTTGGCCGAGGGCCTTCCTGCACGTGGGTTTAGGGAGTCAGGAATCTGGGCATCCTCAGAAACCCCTCTCTGCCTGCCTGGTAAGCGCAGCCCCAGGGGGGCAGCTGTCCTCCGTGAGCGTGAGCGTCCTGGGTGAGGTGTGTGTGGTGCAGAGGCACGGGGTCTGGGATCCGTGTGCCCAGCGGCGGGACGGTCTCAGGGTTCTCTAGAAAATTCACCTCCCGGTGCGGTCCAGCCTGCAGGGCCGTGGCCAGGTTTCTGGCTGGGTGGGGCGCTGGGCTCCCCCGGGGCTGACTCGGGACCACTGACTTCCCTCCCAGGGCTGCCGAGCCAGAAGCCCAAGGAGCAGCAGCGCAGCGTCCTCCGGCCAGCCGTGCTGCAGGCCCCACAGCCCAAGGTGCTGGCGCAGACCGGTAAGAGGCGTGGCACTGTGGGGGTGGGCACCGTTAGCTACGCTGGCCATCTCCTCCAGCAGGGCGGCCCTTGGCAGCAGGGCTCTGCTCATCCCTCTCAGCTCCTGTGCATGTGGAGACGTGCCCTCGGGTGTGCAGGTCGTCTGAGAGAGCTAATGTTAGGTGGTCCCGGATGGAACCCAGGGTCTGCACACTAAGCTGCGTCGCAGGCCCTGTAGGTCTGTTGTGGGGCAGGGTCTCACCAAGTACCCAGACTGGACTTGAATCTGCAGTCTGCCTGCCTCAACCTCCCTCGGTGGGGCTCCAGGCGTGCATCACCGCACCCTGCGTGAGGCTCAGTGTGATTGCACACGCGTCTGCGTCTTAGTTGCCGGCCTTGAGACCTGACCCGAACTGTGTGCCTGCCATAGCCGCAGCGGCGCGTTCTGGCTAAGCCTTGGTGTCCGCATGCTGGCGAGCTGTGTCCTCCCGGTGTCTCCGTGACCCAGAACTCACAGGCAGCTCAGCCGTCAACACAGGGGAACTGATTGATATTTTTGAAGAGTTTTTAAATACATGGAAAATTATTTTAATCTAATGCTAAACAGCCAGAGTTTAAAATGTATATGTGGAGGGAGGTTTGTTTTTTTGTTTTTGTTTTTTGTTTTTTGCAGTCCTAAGCAGGTGCTCATGCCCCATCGTGGTAAAGGAAAAAACCCACATATTTGTGTTTCATTATTAGAATTGGTTTCACACAGCTCATGAACAGCTGTTCCCCACCTGCAGTTTCAGCTGCTTGGAAGGCTGAGGCAGGAAGATCACAAGGTTTGGGCCAGGTTGGATCAGTTTAGTGAGTCTAAATTTTATTTTTTAATTTTCTTTGCCTTTTGAGACAGGGTCTTGCTATGCTGTTCAGGCTGGCCTTGAGCTCACTTGGTAGCCCAGGCTGGTCTCTAACTTGCAGTGATCCTCCTGCCTCAGTCTCCTGCCTCAGTGCACCACCACACCTGGCTGTGAGCCTGAAATTCTTTTCTTTTCTTTTCTTTTTTTTTTTTGGTACCGGGCATTGAACTCACCACTGCACACTTGCAAGGCAGGCGCTTATGCCGCTGAGCTAAATCCCAGCCGGAGTCTGAAATTTTTTTTTTTTTTTTTTGGCTTTTTCTATTTTATCGGTACCGGGGATTGAACTAACGACTGCCTGCTTTCAAGGCAGGCGCTTATGCCGCTGAGCTAAATCCCCAGCCCCTGAAATTTTTAATAAATTTAAAAAGTGATAGAAGTACAGCCCAGTGGTGAAGCGCTTGCCTAGCATACAGACCTTTTATTGTTATTTTTATTTTACTCTGTGTGTGTGTGTTAGTTACCACTAATATTTCTAAGCACACTGCAAGGCCACAGAGCTTGTTTTGGAATAAAGCGTCCTCGTTCCTGTGGGCGTTTGTTTCTTCCTAAGAGCAGCCTGTAACTGCGCAGCACACCAGGTCCCCTCCCCCAAGGGCGCCTCCTAGCCTGGGCCACCAGGGGCCCAGTGGCTGGCGACACTCTGCTTTCTCCCTCAGTCCCCAGCAGCGGCACCAATGGCGTCAGCATCCCAGCAGGCTGCACCGGGGCCGCCGCAGCGTCGTCACCGGAAAACCCTGCACGGCGAAGCCCCTCTGAGGCCGCCGCCGAGGCACTCCTGCTTGAGGTCGGTGGGTCCTGGGGCAGGGGCGGGCGGGCGGGCGGCCTCGGGAGCAGCCATGCCTGGGCTGAGCAGCTGCGCTGCGGGCTGTGCGGAGCCTTCTGGCTCTGGGGGCGGCCTCGGCCAGTGCACGGATCTGATGGTCGCAGTCTGTTTTATCTGTGCGGGTCCACAAGAGCTTTGCTAGTGCCCTGTACAGATGGCGACGTGGTGCCGGCTCTGGTGGGGGCTCTGGCTGTGTGTCATGGTGGCGAGGGGTGTGCGTAGGAGCCCCCAGGGTGGGGAAGGGACAGTCTCCATCTAACCACTTGCCTCAAAGAACTCTGTGCCCTGTACGAACTGGCCCGCCGTCCTGGGTTGTGCCCTCAATAACCTGACCGCTTCCCTCAGGTTCCACACTGGTCAAGGCCTCCTTCTCCTGATTATCAGCTCCCCGGGGTGTTGGGCAGGAGGGACAGTGGCACGGGAAGCCCCACCACGCTCGAGCATCTGCCCGCGCAGGCCTTCTCCTCCTCCTGGCCCCCTCGACTGGGTCCTGGGAGTGGCCATTGTAGGGGCAAAGAGTCCCCCCTGCCACACCAAATTGACCCCTCAGCACCCGCTGGCCCCCGACCTCACTGGCACATTGGCCTAGGGACTTGGCACAGGAGGAGCCCCCCCGGGAGAAGGCAGAGTCCCAGGTGCGGGGTTATCTAGGTCAGGGACAGTGTGTGTCCCTGTAGCCTAGAGCAGAGTCACTGAGGAAGAGCCAGTGTTCAGGGTTCAGGGCGGGACAGTGGGAACATAGAGCCACAGCGCCGGTTTTGTCCCTGTGAGACGCCCCAGGGACCATGTGTGCTTCCCATTCGTCTGTTTCCGAGGCCAGCAGGAGAACGGCTGTCTGCGGGGTCACCGTAGTCTCCGAGTGCCACGCGCCCGCCCTGCCAGCCCCACCCCCACCCCACCCTGCACTCAGGTGGAAATGTGGGAGCCGAGTCCCCCCTCTTTCCACTACCTCTCAGGCTGAGAGCTGAGGGTGGAGGGACCCAGACAGTGTCTCCTCCAGATCCCCATGGTGGCCGTGCCAACGCCTACCCTGGCGCTTGCTTACGTCCCTCTGCCATGGGATCCAGCCCTCCCTGGCACACTCGGGCCTGCACCCACGTGCTGCGGCGCTGGAGGTTGTGCCCTTCCTGCCTTCCTGCCACCATGCAGATCCGAGCGCAGCCCCCAACTTTTCTGTCACACAGCAGCTTTACTGTGTAGCATGGGCACGCCCTGTGAATCCCTGGGAGCTTTCAGTTCTGTCCAGGTACCTGGGTGAGTCGGTCGTCACCAGGACCCACCTGTCAGGTGGCTGTGCTCCACCGACATGGGGACTGTGAAGTGTGCAGGCCCTGCAGGTGTGAGGGCCCCATGAAGCCGTCAAGGGTCTTTATTCATGGTCCCCTGGGCATTTCTAAACACACACACATACACACATACACATGCGCGCGCGCACACATGCACATGCACACACACTTTCTCCCCCAAAGCAGACTGCCCTACGCTTCCCACGTTCAACACTGAGCCATAGCCGCACCCCCGGTTTTTCCGTTTTGTTTTGGGGGTTTGGTTTGGCTTGGGTTTTTGAGACCGAGTCTTGCTGTGCAGTCCAGGCTGGCCTTGAGCTTCCTGTGTGGCCCAGGCTGGTCTCAAACTCACAGCAGCAGTCCTCCTGCCTCAGCCTCCTGCATGCTGGGCTGACAAACACGTGTTACCATACTTGGCTGAGCCCCTGGGTTTGGTTTTGTTTTTTGTTGTTGAGGGTTTGGGGGAAAGTTTCTGTTTTGGGGGGTCTTTGGGTTTTTTGGTGGCACTGGGGTTGAGCCCAGACCCTCTGCATTGAGCTGTGTCTCCAGCTTTCTCATTTCTTGTGAGGTCTCAAGCCCCCCCCCCCCGCCAGCCTCCCAGACTGCTGGGATTATTGGCATATACCAAACACGGGGCTCCTGCTCTTCTGTTTTATTTTGTGGTTTATGATGTTTTGTTTGCATTTTGAGGCAGGGCCTTACTATGTGGTGCAGGCTGTCCTTGAACTCACAGTACAGCCCAGGGTGGCCTCAGAGTCGTACACAATCCCGGCTCAGTCTCCCGAGTGCCGGGGTTACAGGCATGCTGCCCACACCCAGCTCCTGGCTTCGTGTGTAACCAGAATGGAGTGAAGTTCCCCTGTGCCACCACACTTTCCTACAGTTGCTGTATTGTGGACGTGGTTCCAGTCACAGTCGCCCGAGTCTCTCCATAACAGCTGTGTGGTGTGTGCCCTCCCACCCAGTGCTGGAGCTTCACTCCGAGCCGTATCCCCAGAACTTAATCTTTGTTTTGAGCTGGGGCTCACTAAGTTCCCCAGGCGAGGCTCAAACTGGAGACACTGCCGTCACAGCCTCTGGGTGCCGGATCACGGGCACCGTGTCCACACCTGGCCCTCTCACTTGTGCCTGGCTGCTGCCGCAGCAAACCTCATGCTCCCCATGCCTGCGGCCGCCTCGGGCAGCATCTGAGGACAGCGCCTTGGCAGCCCTACTGGCCTGCACGGGGTCTGCTGGGGCAGGAGAGCCAGAAGCCAGGCAGGTTGTGGGCAGGTGTGACCGACGTCCTCGGGCATGCGGAGCCCTGGTGCCGTCCTGGCCCGCTGTGCTCGGTGCCGCGGTGGCCCTGTCCAAGGCCGGCCGGGGCAGGCCTGGAGGCTGCGCTGCATGCTTAGCCGTGCTGTCCCACGAAGGCCATGCAGGGAGCCAGCAGCCCTGTCCCGGCCTCGGCTCTTCCAGCCCCAAGGGAAGCCTGGACACCTGGGGCGGCGACGCGGGTGCTGGCCTTGTTGCGCTGGCTCCGGGCTGCCAGTCTTGGTGACTGTGCTGTGCCCCTTTCCGCAGAAGAAGGAGCCCCGGAGGGACGAGTGCAGCGATGCCTCGGAGGAGGAGGGCACGCGGCAGGCCTTCGTGTTCGGGCAGAACCTGAGGGACAGGGTGAAGGTGCGTGCTGCCGGCGGGCCACACGCTGCCCGCCTCCGGGCCTGGTGCTGGGCTCGGGGCGGTCTCCAAGGCGGAGCGCGCGGAGGGGCCGGAGCCGTCGGACGGGAGGCGGCTCTGCCCTCCAGCTCGGGCTGCTCCAGCAGCTTGCTGCCGAGAAGCCACTTGGGTCTCTGAGCAGCGGTATCTGTGGCCAGTCTGGGACACGTGTGGCTATCGCAGCTGGGGAAGCCCCTGGCCTGGTGCACATGAAGGCCAGGGAGACTGCCCAGCACCCTGCAGGGCCCAGGACCCCTCCCTTCCCCGCTGGGGGAGCCTCTCACCCGCCTGCCCTGCGCCGGTTGCTGGCCAGAGCCCTCGTCCCCTGCAAGACATGCAGGATGGCTGCTGGGCTGGCCGTGCTTCTCCCCAAAGAGGCCCGTGTCTCAGACAGGCCAGAGGCGAGCATGCGTGGGCCCGGGGTGTCACCGTGGGCCCAGCTGCTCTGTGCGGATGGTCGCGTTGCTGCCTCCTTGGTAGTAGCTCAGGTGACCGTGCCCCTCCACCACCACCGCAGCTCAGGAGCGTGACACAGCCCCGGGGCCAGGTCTGTGACGGCCCTGTGCGAGATGCACCCCTGAGGTGCCCCTGGAGAGCTGCCGGCACCACGGTGGAAAGGCTCCCTGACGCTGCCGGCCGCAGCCCTGCCCCACTGCCCGCTGAGTGGCGGCTGCAGGCCGGGCCTGACGACCGAGCCCCTGTCATTCTGCTTTCAGCTAATGAACGAAAACATGGATGCCGCAGATGTGGAGAGCACGGGGCAGCCCAGCTCCGAAACACCAGCCGCCACCAACTATTTCCTGCAGTACATCAGCTCCAGGTGCGGGTCGGCTGGCCCGGGTCCTTCCGCCCCTCCTGGAGCCCCTTGGCCTGGGCTTGGGCACCTGGCGCCAGGAGGAGACTACCCTGCCCGGGACACACACAGCTCAGGCCGGCGGAGCGGGGCTGGGGCACCGCCTCTGCTCAGACAGGGTGCACAGCCCGGAGCCTCGGGCAGAGGGAGTCCGGCTGCCTGCTGCCCATGGTGCACGCCGCAGCCCTGTGCTCACCACGCATCTCCTCTCCTCCTCAGTGCAGAGAACTCAACCAACAGTGCCGATGCCTCCAGCAACAAGTTCGTGTTTGGTCAGAACATGAGCGAGCGCGTGCTGGTGAGTGGTCCCTTGGCACTGTCCTTGGTCAGGACACCTGCTGTGTGGCTGCCGCATGGCTGCCTGTGAAGTCAGGATCTCCCCCAGCAGCCGTCGGAGAAACACGGCCCCGCTCCCATCCTGCTTAAAGGTGGGCTGGGCCGGCTCCGGAGGCCGGGAGGCTTCCCGGGTAGCGGCCCTCACTGCCTCCACCGCAGTCCCTGGCTCCTCCTGTGAGTCCGTCTAGGGTGAGGCCGGTCATAGATCAGGGGCTTGCAGCCCAGGGGGACAGGGCCTCCATGTTCCCGGGCAGCGTAGCGCTGTCACTCTGGTGGGGAGGTGGCATCTGCCAGCAGACAGCGCTGCAGCTGCTCCAGCCTGCCGCTCCCTGGCCGAGGTGCGGGGTGCACGGGGGCCTGGCTTGCAGCGGGGCTCTGGCGGGGCTCAGGAGGCTGCGTCTCCCCCACCCCCGGGGCACGCCGCTGCTGCCCACTGCTTGTGGCCAGGCCGTCCTGCCCCCTGCTGCCCTCTACCTTCACCCTGCTCCCGAGCGCTCTGTGGGGCTCCCTCGGGGCATCCCCCAGCGCACTGCCCAGCTCGGGGCTCCTGTCCCGTGGGCTTCCCCAGCTGCACTGCTGGAGGCTTCTCCGCCCCACGTGCCTTGGTTTCCCCACAGAGCCCCCCCAAGTTGAACGAGGTCAGCTCAGATGCCAACAGGGAGAGCGCGGCTGCCGAGTCCGGGTCAGAGTCCTCCTCCCAGGAGGCCACCCCCGAGAAAGGTACGTCATGGTCACTGTACCTCGGGGGAGTCGCTGCAGACAGCGGGCTGACCAGGGGTGAGGGGCCCTGTGTCCATCTGTGGAACCCCCTGGGAGCAGTGGCTGGACGAGCAGGGCTTCGATCTCCTCAGGGAGGCGGCAGTGTGCTGCTCTGCCCCGCTGGACCACGCCAGCTCCCCGGGCTCCGGGACAGCAGGTCCCCAGGGGAGGTGCCCTCCCCCTCCCCGGGTACATAGGCAATCTCATTTAGCTGAGGACGTTTCAGAGTCCCTGGCCGAGTCTGCGGCCGCCTACACCAAGGCCACAGCGCGGAAGTGCCTGCTGGAGAAGGTGGAGGTCGTCACCGGCGAGGAGGCGGAGAGCAACGTGCTGCAGGTGGGCCGGCGCCAGCCCCCGCCTGTCCCCGCGGCCACTCCCTCCCCTCCTCCTTCCCTTCGCCCCAAGGACCCCGAGGCCCAGGGTCCTGAGCTCTGCGGAGCTGGGGTCCTAGAGCTCTGCCCTTTGTCCAACCCAGGCTGGCTTTTTTGTTTTGGTTTTTAAGGGAGGTTTTACGTTTTGTTTTATTTTGGTTTGGTTTGGTTTGTTTTTTGAGGCAGGGTCTCACTGTGCAACTCAGGCCGGCCTTGAGCTCACTGTGTGGCCCGGCTGGTCTCACACTCACAGTGATCCTCCTGCCTCAGCTCTGAGCGCCGGGATGACAGGTGTGCGCTGTCACCCTCAGCATCTGCGCTGGCCACTGGCGCAGGAGAAGTCGCACGTCTCCCCCGGGTCGCACACCGTCCCCATGGCGTGTTTCTGGTGCTTGTCCGGCAGCGCAGTGAAGGGACGGACGGGGCTCCTGCGTGCGCCTCACCCTCTGAAGTGAATCGCCCCGGGGCTTGGGGAACGGCAGAACCACCTGCCTCCAGCCTTCGGCGCAGCACACTGTGCCCGGAGCGGCCACCTCCTGGCCCTGCATTCCCGAGTCCACTTCGTGGCTCCGGACTTGCGCTTCCTGTCCGTGGAGCCCATGCTGTGTGTGCGCTGTGTCTGGCCACTGAGCACAGTGTCGTCAAGGTTCCTTTGTGCTGTGGTGTGTGTCACAGCCAGACTCCTTTCCTGCCTGCATGGGACGGACACTGCTGTGTGTCGTGCTGCAGCAGATGTTTGGCCCAGTGGCTCGGTGCCACCTGTGAAAGACACTGCTGCTGCTGGCACACATGTTTGGGCCGACACGTGCACTTCGCAGAGCTCGGCCCCTGGGCCACGTGGGGACCCCGTATGCCGCACCTCAAGGTTGCGAAGCTGTCTACAGCATGCTGGCCTTGTGCTGTCCCCCAGATATGCAGGGCATCCCCCCTGCACACAGTCCTACCTGGCTGTTCGGCCGTAGCCTTTGCCTATGGGTACGGGGTGGCGTGTCATCAGAGTTTGATCTGTTTCTGAAGTGTCGCCTTCTAGTGTCGATACAAGCACACACACTTGTAACCTCAACACCCGGGAGGCTGAGGCAGGAGGATCACTGCAAATTTGAGACCCGCCTGGACTACATAAGCAAACTCAAGGCCAGGCTGCGCTGCATGGCAGGCCCTGGCCTCAGAAACGAAACAGATGAGAAAGCCCACTGGCAAGCCGGCCGCCAGCGGCCCTGAGCTCCACACCTGCTGCCCCAAAGTGCTCTGAGCCCGGCTCCCGGGGGCCTGGGCTGGAGTTTGCCAGCCCCGGGCCCAGATGGGTAGATGGCGGCGCGGGGCACGGTCCCAGCAGGGCTCACCCGGGCCACCGTGTGCGTTTCAGATCCAGTGTAAGCTGTTCGTCTTCGACAAGACCTCACAGTCCTGGGTGGAGCGAGGCCGGGGGCTGCTCAGACTCAACGACATGGCGTCAGCCGACGATGGGACGTTACAGTCCCGGCTAGGTGAGTGCCGGGCTGGGCGGCCAGGTCGGAAGCACGAGGTGCTCGAGAGACCCGGGCACAGGCCAGGCCCCAGTGTCGGCCCCCAGGGTGGCCGGCCTGCTGCAGAGGAGGTGGCCGTGCCCGGGAGGGGCCGTGCGCGCCTCCTGCCCCTCTGCCACGCGGGCGCCCCGGGGCCCAGGCTCTCCCTGGAGACAGTGAGAGGCCCCGAGTGTCCGGGGCTTCCACGGCGACACTGCACGGCAGCGGACAGCTTACCCTCCACTCTGCTGGTGGCGGGCACTGAGGGCGTCCCCGGCATGTTTATTTACATGCTTCCTGAACCTACAATTGGGGCGCCTTATACGGGAGGCCTTATACGGACGTGGCCTCATTACAGCGAGTGCGCCCTGCACACGGGGAGAGCCGTGCGGAAGTGCTCCGCCCGGCCTGCAGAAACCTCCCGTTCCCCACTGCCCCCCAGACAGCTGGCGCCCACCTGGGGGTGTGCAGAGCCGAGGTCCCAGGGCCCTGCACTGTCCGCTGTCCTCAGCGCCATGACAGGGAGGTTTCTGCCTTCCTTCCTCAGAGACATGCAGACACCTGCGGGTCCTGGTGGGATGCAGGTGCCCCCACGGGCACCCTGTGTGCAGCCCGCTGCAGTGCTGCCCCTCCGTGCCCTTACTAGGTGTCACTAGGCTCCCTATCCCTTTGTGCTCCATCCTCGGAGGCGAGCATTCGGCCCGAGGACATGGACACGGGGTACCTAGACATCGGGCCCCTGGCAGGGTGACTTCTAACGGGGACTGCTGGGCCAGCGGGAAGATGGCTTCCGGCCATGTGCGTGGGCTGGGTGTGGACGGGCGTGTGGGGCAAGGCTGTCCCGTGTTGAGCCTCCCCGTGGTGTGCTGCCCTTGGGCAGCTCTGCCGCATCTTGGCAGGAGCTGTGAGCAGCAATGCTGCTCTCCCTTTGTCCCAAGACAGCAGGGGGTGTGGCCTGCGCTGGACACAGCCGGCGCCTGCCGGTGTGCTGTGCAGAGCAGGCCCCGTGAGCAGTGCCCGCTGCCTCCTCTCCCTTCCCGGGGCCCCCATGGTGCCTGCCGGTGTCTGGGCCACAGGGGTTCGGGCGCCCAGGCCAGCGCAGCCGAGCAGCCCTGCCGCTGCCCGTTGCAGTGATGCGGACCCAGGGGAGCCTGCGGCTGATCCTCAACACCAAGCTGTGGGCCCAGATGCAGATCGACAAGGCCAGCGAGAAGAGCATCCGCATCACGGCCATGGACACAGAGGACCAGGGCGTGAAGGTCTTCCTGATCTCGGTGAGCCCGCCGGGCAGGGCAGCAGAGTGCTGGCTGGGACAGTGGCAGGGTGGGCCGCTGGGGAAAGCGGGGCGCCCCCACCTGGAGGGGAGTTCATCGCTGTCGGGAGGGGCGGGTGGGGCCCTTGGCTGCTGATCCACACCGCAGGTCCCTCCGGGGCCCCCCGCCCCCCGGCTGTCCCCGGGTCTGCTCCATCGCCCTGCTGCCTCTCCTTCCCCTCCAGCTCCACCGCCGTCCGGTGTCCTGTGTGCCTGGTGGTGCGCTCAGGGCAAACAGGCCTGTGTGTGGTAACCCTGTCCCAGGTCATGTGGAGGGTGACAGCCACGTCATCCAGCACAGCCCTGTGTCCCGCCTCAGGCCTGTCCTGCCTGACCCAGTGCCCTGGGACCCTCCTGTCCCCCGGGTACCCTTTCCAGGAAGGGCAGCAGGCACCCGCAGTGGCAGTGGCAGGCAGAGTGTCCTTGAGGCCATACCGGCCCTCACTGCCCTGTCCCCCAGGCCAGCTCCAAGGACACTGGCCAGCTGTACGCGGCCCTGCACCACCGAATCCTGGCCTTGCGCAGCCGTGTGGAGCAGGAGCAGGAGGCCCAGGCCCCCGCGCCTGAGCCTGGAGCCCCTTCCAACGAGGACGACAGCGACGACGACCTGCTGGCCCCCTCGGGAGCCCCTGGAGCCAGTGAGTGGCTGGCGCTGCCCCGAGGGCCCAGGGTGGCCTAATGGCCAGCTGGTAGCCATAACAACATGCTGTGTCCCCACAGGTGCAAGTGAGGAAGGGGACGGGCAGGCGCCCGGGAGCACATAGCCGGCGGAGGTGCCCAAGAGGCTGCTGCTCTGGCCCTGTGGCCCGCCCTCCCCCAGGCAGCACGGGCGGAGTCCCAGCCTGGACCCCGGCCACCGGCCCGGCAGAGCCCCTCGGAGCTGCCCGGATGCGGCTTGGGACTTGAGACCTCATCATATTGATGAGCAGAGAGCGCTGTCCCCCCGCCCCGAATGGAAATGGCACATTAAGACTTGTCACGGCTTCTCACTGGGGCTGGAGACCTCCTTTCTTCACCTGCGTGTCGAGCCCCGGGCCTCCCCGCCACATGCCCTCCCTCCCAGGGGTCCCCGCCGCACCCCGGAACCCTCAGAGCGTCCACACTGGGCCCTGGACACTGTTTACTGCTCTCTCTGTTCCTGTTTCCCACCTTCTGATTCGGCGTTTATGTTCTACAGATCTTCCTTTTTTATGTCCAAAGGCTTTGGTTTGGTTTCTGGGCTTGTGACACTCGGGCAGGCACAGCCCTGGGCCCCACTCTGGCCCTGCCTCCTCCCAGCCGTCACGGGCACTGAGGGCCTGGCCTGGAGAGCGCCCCCGGAAGATCACGGGACTCGGGAGGGTCCCTAGGGTCCAAGTCACATGGCCCACCTGCTCCCGTGTGTGTTGGCCGCTGCTGGCCCAGCCCCGACATCGCCCCCGAACTGCTATGGACCTGGGACTGCCATGAGAGGCCGAGGGCCTGCCCCGGCCAGCAGGACAGCAGGCTTTTCCAGCATGCCATGCACGGGAGTGGGCACTGGCGCTTGGCCTGGCACCACAGGGTGGCCTCTGTGGCCACCCTGCCGACCAGGCCTCCGGGACAGCAGAGGAAATGGCCCGGCCTGGCCCCGCCCTGCCCCGCCCCGCCCTCAGGCAGAGAAGAGGCCTCGCCCCGCCCCGACTGTTCTCCCACACCCAGGGCCAGGGCCAGGGCCAGGGCCAGGGGGGCTTCGGCGCAATGCGGGCTACGCTGGCACTGCCCAGCCCCCAGCACGCCTGGGCCTGGGAAGACACCGCAGGCCACCCAGGAGATCCGGCCACACTTCTGCTTTAAGCCTTAGCCAGCTAGTGACAAGTGAAAGCAGACAATGCCCATGTGTTTTGGAACATTTCTGTAAGAGCGTCATATGAAATGTATTTGGGAACTACATTAAAACTTTTAACTAAACCTGGCCTCCCGCATGCTCCAGGGGCCTCGGGAAGTGAAGCGAGGGCCTGGCCAGGTGACCCCGTGGCCCCCAGCGGACCTCTGCCCAGACCTCCCGCCCGCCTGGCTCCCTGTGGGCTGTGGGGGCCGGGAAGGGAGGGCAGCGCCCCTGGGACTGGGCCCTGAGCCTCGCCTCGGTCCGGCCCAGCAGGAGACCTGGTCTGGCCGGTTCTTCAGCTCGCTGCCCAGCCCCCTCCCACTATGTCCCCTTGGGCTTTGCCCTGGGCCACCTGGGCAGATGGGGGCCCTGGAGGTCCTGGGCCTGCCAATCAGAGCCGCCAGGCACTGGTCACCATGGCCACGAACTCCTCGTCTGTGTCCACAGAGGCGCTGAGCCCACTGTAGTAGTCCTGGAATTCCGCCAAGGTGACCTGTGGGCACATGGGCATGAGGGGAGCTGTGCGCCTGGCCACCTCTGCAGGAAGGGCCACCGCGCAGCCTCTCACCTGCCCATCCTTGTCATGGGCATCGAAGTTGTCAAGAAAGCGGCACAGCACCTCCTCCTCGGTCCACTCCCCACTGCGCACCTTGGGGTGGCCGCGGCCACTATACACCCCACGGAGGTCATCCACAGTCACCACGCCATCCCCGCTGCGATCTAGCTTGGCAAAAGCAGCCGCCACCACTGCCTCCCGGGCCTGGGACATGGGGGGCTGGGGACAGAAGCCAGGAAATGACCTCAGCAGGTGCCTCTCATCTCAGGGATGGGTTCCGCCTCACTGACCTGGGTCCCCGGACACCCTCCAGTGACAGCCATACCCGCAGGGCCCGCAGGAACTCCTCCAGGTCCAGTGTCCCACTGCCATCACGGTCCCAGTTCCTACACACGGCCTCGGCCTCTGCTGGTGCCAGCACCAGCCCCAGCGCAACCAGGCCCCGCTGCAGCTCCGCCACGTCCAGGGCGCCACTCCCATCCCGATCCAGGCGGCGGAAGAACCTGCAGACGGGTGGGTGGCAACAGTCAGATGGCGTTTGGGGCACCAGAACCCTGGAGGTGCGCGGACTCCTCACCTGGCCAGGCCCTGGATGCCTGAAGGCCCCCGGGCTAGACACTGTGCTCGCAGCTTCTCCATGATGGCCTCCACGGTGTCCATGCTGGAACAGCGCCCTGGGCAGCTGGAGGGCAAGTCACAGGGACAGCCGCTCAGCCAGCCAGGGGGAGCCCCCGCCACCCCTGCACACAGCTCCCGCCTGCTCACCTGGCCAGTGTTGAGTGCAGTCCTGCTGGCTCGGCCCCACCCACGCTTTGCATCCTGTTGCCAAGATGGTTGCTAAGGAAGGTGGCCCTGGAGACGGGGAGGGGCCTGTGTCTGCCCACCCACAGCCCCGGGCTGGAGCCAGGCCCCAGCCAGGCCCGGGCCATGCAACCTGGGAGGAGGGTGCTTACAGCCCTGCAGGGCCAGCTTCCCCTGCAGACAGTCAGGCCCCTGCAGCTGCTGTGTGACCAGGGCAGGTTCCCTTCCCTCTGTGCTTCACAGACTGGCTCAGAAGGGCTCCAGGCAGCCCGGCTTCTGGCCCAGGCCTGTATGCAGTAGAGGGAGGTTGTCAGATTCCTGGGATGCCAAGCCAGGAGCCTGCCAGTTCCAGGAGACCAGTGACATGATTCACTGTGACAAAAGCTGCTTCTGGTGCGTTTAGGAGCCAGTCGTGGTGGTGTCACTCGGGTCTTCTGATTGCTTTTCAGCCCTCAAACATCGCTCCTCAGCTCAGCACAGGGCAGCAGCCTTCAGCCCTGATGCAGCCCGGAGAAACCAAGGCCCGCGTCCCAGAAGGCCTTTGGCGGGAAGGTGGGACATAGAGCATCGCCCAGGACTTCAGGCCAGGCCCCGGGCTCACCTGGTAGTGTGTGCAGGGGCCGGTCTGGGGCAAGCGGGGGCCAGGACGCCTGTCCAAACGTGTGCGGTCCTGTCACGTTGCCAGAAGCTCCAGTGACGTTCTGCTGTGCACATTCCGATGGCTTACGGCGACCCAAAAACATAGAGTAGGCAGAGAAATCCTGCATTGTTTGATTTTGCTTTTTGCTTTGGTTTGTTTGAGGTTCGGAGTGGGAACCCAGGGCCTCCGCTGGGGGCCCAGCGCTCACCACGGAGCAGCACCCTCTGCCCACTGTGGCTCTGCAATGAGTCAAATGTGGCCATTGCTCTTTTTCTGTGGAAAAATGTAAACTACTACAGCTGGGGGCTGGCTTGGTGGTGGAGCAGCTGGGGGTTGGGGGCTGGCTCGGTTGGCGAGCGCTTCTCTAGCGTGTGTGAAGCCCTGGTGTGAGTCCCAGCACCACCAAGATAAAGAGTAAATGACACAACAACCAGTCACGATTTTTGTTTGGTTTCGTTTGCAGGACGGGGGCTGAAACCCGGCCGCTACAACCCCAGGCCTTTTGTGTATTTTTTGACACAGTCTCACTAAATTGCCAGGGCTGGAGGATCTTGAGTTCAAGGCTGGCCTGGGCTACAGAGTGAGATTCTGTCTCAAAAGAAAAAAAAAATTTTTTCCCCCAAGTTACCTCCATAAAACTGCAAGCACTCCTAGCCCTCTAGACCGGGAGAATGATTTTACCTCACTGGCCTCAGTTTCCCTGGCTGTCAAGGGAATGGTGCCTGCATCCACTTGCAGCTACGAAGATCGAATACAACAGCATGCACAGCCTGCCTGGAAGTCAACCTCAGGTCTCCAGGGCCCAGCAGGGAGCACGCACAACATAGCCGGGCACCAGAAAGAAAGAACCAAGAGCCCAGGCCAAGAAATGGTGCAGTTTATTCTCAAGCACAGACAGGCCCCAGCCGGCCTCCCCTCTGTACAAACAGAGCCCCCCTTTATTCATCTGGAGGACGAACTGGGACTGCTGTCACCGCTCGAGAGGTGACTGTTAGACGGCACTGTTAATGTTAGGTTCCAAGGTCTCTGGGTGGCCACCACCCTTTCCGGTGGCAGGAGACTCTGCCCTGGTGGGTCCTGGCCTGATAAAAAGCAAAGTACCTTCAATGTCCCGCCAGGAGGAGCAGCACAGAAACAAGGGATTAAAAATAGGCTATAAAAACAGCTGCTCGCTACACAAAGGCAGATACCCTAGGGGGAAGGGGCCCCTGGCTTGCTTTGAGCCACAGACCCATCCCTTCCTCCTGGGACTTCCGGGGCACCTAAGGCACTGGTGACAGGGAAACTAGACAAAAATCCCTGCCCTGAAGGAGGTTCCCTTCCTGAGATGGGACAGGAAGAATTCCACAAGGAAAACAAAGGAGAATAAGTGACCTGGTTAGGGGCGGCCTCTGACAGAAATGGCATTTGAGCAGAGACCTGAGTGACAGTCACATGGGAATCAGGGGGAAAGCATGCCAGGCCGAGAAAAAGCAGTGCAATGGCCCTGGGGCAGGATGCCACCAGGGGAAGGTTAAAGGCTGCTTGCTTCTTCCTGAGCAGTCTGGCAGCCAGCATCTCTCACCAGCCTGGTCTTTGGGATCAAAGGCTGAGGGAAGGATGAAGTTAGGGAATTTAGATCTAGCATGAAAGATTTAAGGCGCTGGGGATTTAGCTCAGTGGCTCACAAGCTTGCCTGGTAAGTGCAAGGTCATGAGTTTGATCCCTGGTACCAAAAAAAAAAAAAAAAAAAAAAATGCTATGTGGGTTAAGGCTTGTGGTCTGGGCTAAAAAAAAGAAAAATGAAAAGAAAGTTTAGCCCTGGGGTGTAGGATGATCCAGAATGAAAAGGATCAAGACAAGGACTGGGTCAAGGACTGGGCACAGTGCTGCGTGCACTGGGAGCCTGAGGCAAGAGGCTCTCGAGCTCGGTGAGTTCAAGGCCAGCCCGAACAACATAGCGGGACTCTGTCTCAATAAACAACAAAAAGAATCAAAGAAAGGCAAAAACAGGAGACAAGCTCAAGTCCTGTGGGACTCCCTGTCCCCGGCCCTACCACATGTATCACCAGAAGCCTCTGGGGTGCAGACCCTTAGCCAGGGGGCACTGAGGTTATAGGCACCCTGGCTAACGCGGGGGCCCAGCCTGGGCTCAGATCAGGCAAAGCCAGCCAGGTCTCAAGCCAGAATCCTGATCCGGCCAAGTACTGCCAGCTTTCCCAAAGGAAGTGGGGTTCAAAATTTCATTCCCTTCGCAGCCTGTCTGAGGGAAACATCTGCATGTGTTTGAAAACTTGGGGATCAGGGACACAGCTTCAGCGGCATGGCACTTGCCTGACAAGCACAAGGTCCTGAGTTTGATTCCTGATACCAAAAGAAAAGAAGAAGAAAACTCGGCCCTTTTAACTTCTTGTGCTGCTTGGCTAAGCTCAAGGCTCTGCCCTGGGGTCCCCCAGTGGATGGAAGCCCCCAAAGGACTGTCTGCTTTCGGTCTGCAGTCTATGCTCCGGGGCTCACACTGTGGTCCCGAACACTGCAGGCTCCAGGTGATCCTCCTCCTCCCCTTCCTCCTCCTCCTCGGCAGTGCTGTTGGTGAGGGGTGGACCCGGCCCGGCAGGAAGCAGATGGCCTGGTACACCGTCCGGCAAGGGCCCCAGATGCTCAGCCTCGGTCAGCGCAGCCAGCAGTGCGGCCAAGGGTGGCTGCTGCTGACAGATGTCCTGCAGCAGCTTGGCTCGGGGCTGCAGCTGCATGATGAGCTCCTCTCTCTGGCGCACAGCAGCCTGCAGGCTGTGGATGGCGGCCTTGGATGTCTGGAGTTGCTCCTGGAGAGCTGAGATCTCACTGGCCGGAAGACAAAACGGCAGTTACTGCACGGGGAGTGGGGGCATGGGGCGGGCGCCTCCCTGCTCCTGACTTTCCGGAGGAACCCATCACTGCCTCAGGGCCACCCCTTGTTATGGGCTGCATGTGTCTCCCCCACATTCCTAGCCTGAAACCCTAACTTCCCTCCTCCCCCACAGGAGGGTATATGGAGACGGAGCTTGTGGGAGGTGAGGGTGGGGCCCCCAGGTGCAATCAGTGTCCTTTTATTTATTTATTTTTTAACTTTTTATCGGTACCAGGGATTGAACTCACGACCACCTGCTTGCAAGGCAGGTGCTTATGTCTCTGAGCTAAATCCCCAGCCCCAATCAGTGTCCTTTTAAAATCTGACACCAAGCCAGGTGAGATGGCACATGTCTGGAACCTCAGGAGGCTGAAACAGGAGGACTGCAAGTTAGAGGCCAGCCTGGACAACTTAGTAAGACTCTGTCTCAAAATAAAGAAGGGTGTAGCTCGGTGGACCATGTGCTAGGTAGCACGCTTGCCTAGCACATGTAAGGCCCTGGGTTTAATTCCTTGCAAAAGAAAAGGAGGGGAGAAAGGGGAGGGAGAGGAGGAAAGGAGGGAGGGAGGGATCAGGAAGAGAAGAAGAAGGTGGCAGTCTGCACACGAGGAAGATGGCCTGCTCAGAACCTCAGCCCACAGACTCCAGAACTGTGGGGACACTGCCTGGCCTTCAGGCCGCCCTGCTGAGGCATCCCGGATGTAGCCCAAGTTAAGGCAGCTCGGCACTCCCCTCTCCTTCACAGGCCTGCTTCCCTGGCCTCTCTGCCACCTGTCCTTAGCTGGCTCCATCACAGTCTTGGTGTCCCGTGACAGAAGCACAACGGTGAGGTGCCTGCCTCCTAGGAATGTGCTCCAGTAGCCAGCGGTCAGCACCTGCCACTGGACAGGTGCTCAGTAAAGATGAATACAAAGTCCAGTTGGCTGGCTCCCACAGAGATGTTCTTCACCAACCTCACTCCTTCCTGGGTATTTGTCTCATCCCTTTCAATTCTTAACTGTCACAGGAATTCTTCAAAAATGCTGATATTCAAGAGTTCAGCTCAGCGGCACAAGCGCCTCCCTGGCAAGTATGAGATTGTTGAGTTCCATCCTCCGTACCCCTCCCAAAAATGCTGATATGTACGCAGTGCCATGGATCATGTCTGTAATCCCAGTACTCTGGGAGGCTGAGGCAGTCACATGACAAATTCCACCCCCCACCCCCACCCCGGGCAATTTGGCTAGTTAGCAACACCCTGTCTGGATGGGGGGAGGCTGGCACGCAGCTCAATGCAAAGGCCTTTTTTTTTTTTTTTTAAATCCCCAGCAACCATTGCAATGGCCTTTGGGTCCATCCCCAGTTAAACAAACAAGCAAAAACTGCCCGATAGGATCACATCTTGATGCTCCTAATGCCTATGCGGTGGGCACCGCTTGCTACCAGCTAATTACCCGTTGGAAGTTAGAAATCCGCACTTGTGTTCTTTCCCTTAACTTCCTAATTCCTGCTTGTTTTTGCTTTGATTCTTCCCAGGGGTCCCCTGCCCTTCCTCCCTTCCCCGTCTCAGCTCCGCCTCTCCCATCGCCTGGACTCCACCTGGCCGCACAGGCCTCACCGGTCCTTGGCGCGGCCCAGCTCGTCCAGGGCGGCGCGCAGCAGCTGGTCGTGACGGGCCAGACGCTCGGCCTGGGCGCGGACCGTGCGCTCCGCTGCGTCCAGCCGCGCCTCTAGTTCCGCCGCGCGCCGGTGCACGGCCGCCAGGTGCGCGTTCGCTTCACGGATCTGCAGGGCGGGCGGCGCAGACATGGCCCCCTCCGTGGTCCAGGCCCGGCCACACCCCTGTACCGCCCGGAACTGGCAAGGCTCCACCCCCAAACTGGCCACGGGCCGCGAGAGCTCGGCCTCATTGGTTGCACTCCTGGATAAGCCCCGCCCAAAGGCTAGGCTGCGCTCTCTTTGAAACTCCGCCCTAAACTCGGCCTAACGCCAAGATTGGTCAATATCTTGACAGGCCACGCCCGCATTTGGCTTTATCATTCAGTTCCTAGCTCTTCAAGGACTCAGGATTGGTCACCTTCTAGACGAACCCCGCCTTGCATAGAAACTAACACCAGAATTGGCCGCGACCTCTCGGAATAAGCATGACCACGCCCACTGAAGCCTGCTGTTGTGCTCTTGGATCTACCTGATTGGCTAAATTCTTCTGAGGCTCAGTGCGACGTACGGTCACGCCCCTTAGAGAAACCTACAGCCCTCAATTGGTCAAGTTTCTGTCAGACACTATGATTTAGGTCACACCCCCAAAGTCAAGGACCTACTTCGGTCATGCGCCTAAGTCAAGGACCTACTTTATCCGACTCTGGGTTTGGAGCTGGTCCCGCTAATATTCTAGCACTGCGATTGGTCACTGTCCCATTGAACCCTGTCCCTGATTCTAGCCACACCCCAAAATAGTGGCACGCGGGTCTAACTCCAATTCCGGAATGGGCCATAGAACGTGACGGCATCCTTCCAAGCCCCGCCCCACAATGATGTCCCCACCCCTCCTGTCAACTGGAGTATCGCCTCGCGCCTTATTCTGTGCATAAGGGTAGGCCTGAGTGGCACTTGTCAGCCATCTTTGGTAATCAAATTATCGCTAACCTAAGACCTCCTGAGCTGATCACTGGCTCCCCAGCCCCAGCGCCTGCGCGATTGTGTCCTTTGTCCGCGGTGCTCAATAAAGTTGCGCGCTTGTTGCCAACCCTGCGCTCCAAGAGGCTGCGCGCGCCGTCCCGGAAGTCTCGCGAGAGTCGGAGGCGGGCTGCCCTTGGGAGCGTGATACCGGCGGGTCCCGCAGAGCGGGGTAGCGGCTGAGCCGCCATGGCAAAGAGACTTTTCCATCTATACGCGGACATCCCGGACGGCACCGACTGCCACCGCAAGGCCTACGCTAGCACCGCTATCGGCGGCGCCGTGGGTGAGCCCCGGCCGGGCTTGGAGGGCGGAGGGCGCGTGGAGGTCGCCTGGTCAGTGGCGCCGGCCCGCGCGGGTCACGGGGCGGAGAATGTCGCCAGGTCGCGCGAGGGTTAATCGGGTGTCTGGACGGCCGCGAAGTCGCGTGTGTATGAGGTGGACGCGGCGGTGGGTTCGCGATTCAGGTGATCCGGGTCCCCCGAGGCCAGACAGGGTCCTGGGGGGGGGGTTCTGGGGGGAGGCGTGGAGGGATCCCCATGGGTGGGGTAACTTTGCGGTTACTTGGGGAATCGATGTTAGGTTGCCTGGACAGGGTCTAAACAAGTCCGAGAATTTTGGGATGCGAATAGATCTTTTTAGTGCCAAGCGGAGGAGAATGGTCCTTCATTTCGCCCACCAGGAGGATTCTTGATCGGGTGGGTCAGGATCTGCTAGGGTACCCTGGGGGGAAGCGGGTTGTGAGGGGACCCACAGCTGTGGCGTGCTCCTGCAGGGAAACCCCGGAGTCTCCCCTTTCCAGTCTTAGCGTGTTTCACAGGCGTGGTCCCCTTTAATTCTCCATCCCACGGGAAGTGAAAGGGATGTCTTGATTTTTTGAATTGCGTTTTGATTTATTTGGGGAGTGATTGCTTGTTCGTTTTCATTTTGGGGGTACAGGATATTGAACTCAGTAGTACTGAGCTACAACCCCATCCCGTTTTTATTTTGTATTTTGAATCAAGTTTTCACTAAGTTGCAAGTTGTCCTGGCTGAGCACCAGCTTGAGATCCTTCTGCCTCAGCCTTCTGGATTCCAGGTGTTGTGACCACCCACATCTAGAAGGGCTGGGCTTAGCTGCCTCCATATCTCCAGCTGAAAGGGGGTTTGGAAGGAACTAAATCTTATCCAGGAGGCGTCTGGTAGTGGTTGCTACCATTTTCTCCATTTTTAGTAAGATTGACATGATTATCTTCTCTAGGTGGGACTGAAGGGCAGCTACCCCTGAGTCACGTGAACCCTGGCTCCTGACCTGTCCCTTGAGGTCTGGGGCCAGCACTGCTCCTCAGGGAACTAACATGGGGTCGTAAGGGGACATGGCTGAGGAACTGTCCCAGGGCAGTGGGATCCCTGAGTTGCTGAGAGAGTCTGGGGTGTGAGATGGGGCATCGTTTGGGCCGCTGGAGAGCACTTGGGATGCACTGGAAGGCCCATTGGTGTTGGGACCCGTGGAGGTGGGGGTGTCACTGTAGGGGAAGCTATTCTGACAGTTGTTTTTTTGTTTGTGTCTCAGAATCAAACTCAGGACCTTGCACTTGCCAGGCAGATGCTTATGCCGCTGAGCTGTATCCCCCGGCCCTGACAGTTGTTTTTAGCAGTCCTGATTGTTGGACTCCATGTAGTACCACTGAGCGACAACCCGTGTGTCTTATTTTTTGAGATGGGGGTACCAGTAAGTTGCAGAGGCTGATCTGGAACTCAGGGTCCTCTTGCTTCAGCCTTCTGAGTAGCGGTGATCGCAGGCGTGCTCAGCTTCTGGCAGATTCTCAGGGGAAATCTGGGTGTAGAGATGAGCAGGAGCATCTGAGCTCTGCCTGCATGCGTGCGCCACGGGGTGGGCTGAGCGTAGGCAGGGAGGCTGTTGGGGAAACTGAGCCAGTGTGAGCTGACCTTTGCCAAGTGAGGGACCTCTTGGGGCAGGTGCTGCAGTGTCTTTGAGGGGCTGGATAAGGACGCTTTGCCAGAGAGGAGTAGGTGAGGAAGTCAGATTAGGGATGATGCTTGGCTTGCCAGTGGCCCTCCCCTGCCAGGCACCCCCTTTGTGCCCAGCTTCCCTGGGGTGGGGGCGTGGCTGGCAGGAAGCCTCCTAGGATTCTGCCCTCTAGGATTCTGGGCCCTGTGGTCACATGGTTTCTGTGGGTGCCCCATGGGTGCCTTGTAGGCGCACAGTGGACGTGTGGGATGGATGGATGGGTGGGTTTCTTTTATTTTATTTATTTCTTGTCTTTTTGAGGCAGGATCTCTCTTGCAGTTCAGGCAGCCTTGAGCTCACTTTGTAGCCCAGGCTGGTCTCGAACTCGCAACAATCCTCCTGCCTCAGCCTCCCAGGTGCTGGGATGACAGGCATGTGCCACCATGCCAGGCTCTGGATGGGTTTCTTTGGGGCACAGGAACTTTGTGTCTTGTGGGCCCATGGCTACTGTTTTGGTTTGTTTTGCTTTTTGTCTTACCAGAAGGGGAAATATTTATTGCACTCAATTCTAGTGTACTTGTTCTAAACTGCTTGCTTAGAAACAGTCACAAGAGCCAGATTTGGTTGAGATTTGGAGCCACCTTTAATCCTGCCACTCAGGAGGCTGAAGCAGAAGGAATCAGTGTGAGTTCAGGACCAGCCTGGGCTACAGAGTGAGACTCTACCTCAGAAAACAAGTCACGGTGGCCAGGGATATGGCTCAGTGGCACAGGCAGCTGCATGGCAAACGCAAGCTCGTGAGTTGATTCTTGGTACCAAAAAAAAGTTGTAAGGAGGGAAATGTGTGCTCTGGAAGCTGGAGTTTAATAACGTGGCGGCAGTCAGTGCCCTGCCGTGTCCAGAGCTTGCTGCAGCCTGACGGCTTCTCAGCGCCCCGTCGGCTGCAGTGGCTCCGTGCATCTCACTGTGTATCTCATTCATCCACTTCCTTTTCTTGCTAAAGGGAAAAGGAGGCAAGGGACAGGCCGTGACGTAAGATCAGATTTGTCCTCGGCTTCCTCAAACTTGATAGAGCAGGAGGGCCTCCCACGGCGGAATGTAAACACAGTTGCAGGCTTCGAAATGGCACAGGCAGCTGTTGTGTAGTTGCTGTCCTTGAACCCACTCTGTAAGCACAGGCTGGCCTCTGCCTGCTGGAGACCCTCCTGCCTCTGCCTCCCGAGTGCTGGGATTACCGGAGTGCGCCCCACGCCCGGCCCGTATGGGTGCAGTGTGTTCCTGTGCATCATATGTTTGCTTTTTTTTTTCCCGTTCCTCTCCCTTCCCTTCTATCCCTCTTTATTTATAAAAGCTTTGTCTTCCATCTTTTTCTTCTATTCTTTTTTTTTCGTTCTTTCCTTTCCCCCTTATCTATCCCTATTTTATCATTCTTATTTTTTGTACAAGGATTCAAATTCATCCCTACTTTAGAGACGCCCTAGCTGACCAGGTGTGGCGGCACATGCCTGTGCACAGCCCTGCATTCTGAGAAGCTGAGGCAGGAGATCGCCAGTTTATAATAAACAGGCAATTCAGTGAGACCATTGTCAAAATCAAAAAGGCCTGAGGTGTAGCTCAGTGAGGGTGCCATCCTGTCACTGAAAGAAAAGCACCAAACCAAACCCACTGGATCGGGGAGCAGGTCCTGCTCACCCGTGGCCAGCGCTGTGGGTTGACTTGAGACCTGGCAGGATGCCAGCGTGTGCGGGCCTGGAGCACCATCACCACAGTGCCAGCCGGGGCGGGACCCGGGCTGGCTTCAGGAGGGCTGCGCAGCCCCAGACCAGGCAGTGGCCTCAGGGTACAGATGGTGACAGCAGCAGCAGCAGCTATGGATGCGCCAGTGCAGGGGGCTGGGGGGCAGCAGGGCCAGAGTGCCTGGGGAGGGGCTGCTGGGGTGGGGCACTGTCTTTGGCTTCAAAGGAGAATCAGGGGCTGGGGGCAGGGACGCGTGCAGCCCTGTCCCGTGTGCTCTGTGGTCCCCGGCCGGCCGGGACTGCTGGTCTGGCGTGGGGTCAGGAAGGTTCGCTCCAGGCCTCGCTCTAACCGGGTCCCAGAGCTGTCATTCAATCCAGAAAGTGGGGAGCATTCCCGGACCCGATGACCCGCCCAGCCTGTGATCAGAACCCACTGGGTCCTACGTGGAACCGACTGTCCCTGTCATTAAGAACCATAAACAAGGGCTGGGGACTTAGCTCAGTGGCATAAGCGTCTGCCTGATAAATGCAAGGTCATGAGTTCGATTTCTGGTACCAAAAAAAAAATGCACAGGCACGAGGTGGCACACACGTGTGATCGCGTCACCCTGGACCCTGACAGGAGGGTCCTGATTTTAAGCCCCGCGTGGACTACTTCTCAAAACACCAGTCTCAAAAAGGAGGGTAGCGTGGGTGAGGGCCGCAGCCCTGCGGTAAAGCTCCGGGAGGTTTGCTCCCCAGTAACAGGAGGAAAAGAGAAAGACCCTGACCAGCTGGGGTGCCCGTGAGCCTCACTGTGGCTGGCTGGGGCGGGTCCGCGCGCGGCCCTCGTGGTGGTGCACTGTCCCAGCACTCTGGGAGGCGGAGAAAGGGGGGTCTCAAGTTCAAGCTCAGCCTGGACAACTTCTGGGACACAGCTCTGTGCGGAGTCCCTGGGTTCATTCTCTGGCCCTGCACAGAGGGATGCACAGCGGGCTGAGGGCTCCGCTCAGTGCCTGCAGAGTCCGGTCCAGGGCTGGGAGGGACAGAAGCAAACAAAGCAGAGCTGTTGGTCGCAGAGGCCCAGCTCGGGTGGTGAGGGCCTCAGGCCTGAACTCTCCCTGTGGTCTCCTGGGCTCCGGGGGGCCGTGCTGGGCCACGTCGGGGCACTCACCTGGGGGTCCTGTCGGGAGCCCGAGTCCTCTGTGGGAGGACCGGAGACAGCACCCCAGGGCTGCCTTTGCTGGGGTACAGTGTGTCAGAGCCAGTGTCCACCAGAGGAAAAGCTGGGCCAGGGCCGCGCGGGTGTTGGCCAGGCCAGCCAGGTGCGAGGGATGTGCCCGGGACAAGGCCTGTGGGGCTGCAGGGCACCGCCACGGGACCTGTGGGTGCTCCTGTTCCGGCCTTGAAGGAGGGGGGACCCTGCAGCTCGCAGCCATGGGGCTGGGCGTTGGGTGGACACAGCCACGGCAGCCCGAGGCTGGGACCTGAGCAGCCATCGTCCTCTGTCTCGCAGGCCTGGTCACCTCCGCTTACAGCCTCGCACACTGGCCCTCGGGCTCCGTCCTCGAAGGAGTGACCAGGGCCGGACGGTACACATTCACCGCAGGTGAGCCTGGGGCGGGGCGGGGGTGGTTCCTGGCCCTGTACAGGTCCCGCCATGTCCCAGCCTGGCCATGGAGACGGGGTGAGGGCCAGACTCAGTGCCCCTCCGCATGCCCACAGCCACCATCGGGGCTGTGTTCGGCCTGACCTCCTGCCTCAGTGCCCAAGTCCGGGAGAAGCCTGATGACCCCCTGAACTACTTCCTCGGAGGCTGCGCCGGGGGCCTGACGTTGGGCGCGCGCAGTGAGTGCCCACCTGCCCCTCACCCCTCGTCGTGCTGGGCTCCATCCTGCCCCAGGGCCTTTGCCTGCACCGTGTCCTCTGCCCTCAGTGCTAGCCTTGGTAGTCCAGGTCTGATTGGGCCCTGGAAGGGTGAGCACACCAGCCTGGTGGCCGGGGAGGGGCTGAGAGGCCGCTGTGGCCTTTCCTGGGCTGGACCCAGGCAGGCTGGACTGCCATTGCAGAGGGGCCAAGACATGGCCGTCCTGGTATGCCTCAGTTTCTCCATCTCTAAAGCCCAGAGGCAGTTTGAGCAGTTTACCTTCCCAGAAGCACAGCTCTGACCCAGTCAGTCGAAGTTCAGGGATGGGGCTCCCCCTCTCCACTTTAAGGGCCTGACACTCCGTCCCTCATCCATAGTGCACAGCTACGGGATCGCCGCGGGCGGCTGCGTGTGCATGGGCACGGCGGCCGCGCTCGTCAAGATGGGCCAGCTGGAGGGATGGGAGGTCTTTGCGCAACCCAAGGTGTAGCCCTGCCACCTCCCGGCCGGCCTGGAATAAACCCTGTGTGTGTGACAGTGTCCTAGCGTGCTCTGGGCTGGTCGGGCCGCACGCCAACCCTCAGGGGAGGCGGGGGGGGGGGATCCACCGGGAGGGAGATAGGGCTGCACGTGCCACCCTGGCTGGGGTTATTCCCGGCAGGGCCAAGGGCGCACGCGGCCCGGCCCTGCAGAGCGGGTGGCATCTGCCAGGCCTGGTATCCTTGGCCAGGTGCAGCCGGTCCCATGTTACGGCCTGTGCTGGGGCAGGTGGCGGCCTGCTGGTGGCCCCCAGCAAGTGGAAACCGGGCCCCGCCACCCACGGCCCTCAGCCCAGCCAGTACTGCCGCAGGTCTCAGGCCGTCCTCTCCTGGCTCGGCCCAGCCGCCAACAGCATGTGGAAAACACGCTCGGGCCCCACACGCAGAGCCGGCTCCAAATTCCTGGGCGTTGGAGCGGAGAGGCCAGGATGGGACAGCACGGTCCAGCCTGGCCCCCGGAGCCTGGGACCCCCCCAGCGACCCAAGTGCCTGGGCTGTGACATGTGGGCCAGGTGAGGGCCACTCGGCAGTGACCAGGGAGCATCTGGGTCCCTGCCCCACCCCGCCACCAGCTGTCGGGCAAGTGATTTAGGTGGCCCCGGAATGCTGGCGACGCCCGGCTCCAGCCCCCGCTCCTTCCCCAGAACTGGCGCTGTCTTCTTGGCGGCCTGGAAGCAAGCGGCAGGCTCCAGCCTGCGCCAGGGCCGTAAATCAGGGCTCAGTGCCGCCCCGGGAGCTGGGCTGGCACGGCCCCTGGCCCTGTCCCCTCCTCCTGCGTCCAGCCCCATGCTGTCCCTCCTGCCCTCCCTGGGGCCCCACGGTGAAAGGCCAAAGCTTCCGGCTCAGATTAACCTGGCACGAGGGGCCGTGACCCCGTCTTTTGCACCCACTGCTGGTCGCCCGAGCCTCTGTGACCCTGCTCTGTGTGCTGGCCTAAGAGAGCTGGTATTAATACAGGCTCCGGGGTCACCTGGCTGAGTTCTCTGGTGACACGGGGACCCAGGCCCGGCTCTGCCCGCTGGCAGGTGGGCAGGGACGGCAGTGGGTGTCCACCGTGGGTACAGGGCCCTCCTGTCAGGCTCTTGGGCCGGCCACAGCGGCAGGGCTGCTCCTTTACTGCTGGCCACTGTCCTGACACCGTTCCCTCCGGCCCACTGCTTGACAGGACTGGGTGTCCAGGGCCCCCCGGAGAGAGCCGCGTGGCCGCCTCTGCCACCTGCAGACCCTGCCCGCTGGCCGTGGCTGCTGGCACAGACACCCCTTAGAGCCCAGGGCTCGGAGTGAGCCAGGTCGCAGCGGCAGCAGCCCATCCGCCGGCCCCAGCATCCCCTCAGCTCGGGCAGCCGTCAGGGCCAGGCTCACACCCACCCAGCCCTTTCCGGGCCGGCTGCCAGGGCCAGAGTGGGCCTGCCAGGCCCCCCGCCTGCAGTCCAGGCGCCCCAGCATGGAGCAGGAGGGGGCGGCTGCTCGCCAGGCTCCAGGGAGCCCCAAAACACAGGCCCCCTTGCCCATAAATATTTACTAGGTTGTGAGGGGCTGACATCATATGGGCGCATGTGGGGGGCCCTGTCCGGAACATCCAGTCCCCTGCCTTCTGCCCCAGCAGCCCCCTTAATGGAGTGGTGGGAGCCCTTCCCGAGGTCCCCACGCTGGACGGGCGGAGGGGACAGGACCAGCAGGGCCGCCTTGGGGGTCAGGAGGAGGGAGGGGCACACGGATGGAGACATCGCAGGCAGCAACACTGTCCCACCCTGTGCCCAGCAGGGACCCCAAGAGGACAGCAGTGGGACAGCAAAGGGGCCGAAGAGGTGCCAGCCGCCCCGGCCCGGCTCCCCCAGCACTGCTGCAGGCCAGGGCAGGAGGACTGCGAGTTCAGGGGCTCCCCCCAGCTCCCAGGAGAAACGGGAGCGCCCTGCGGGGCTCCCCACCTGCCGCTGCCTGGCTGGGCTTCCTGAACTGTGCTTGTACTATTATTAGCCAGCATTTGGAAGCGGGCAAGTTACTCTTTGAAAGAGCTCACGGCCCTGGGAACAAAAGCAAGCCAACTGGAGGAGGAAGGATCCTCCAACCAGGCGCCCCGGAAGCCGCCCTGCCCATGGGTTTCTCCCCAAAGCCAGGGCAGGGTCCAGTCGTGGCCCAGCGCCCATCTCCAGCACTGCAGAGAGCAAAACTATTGCTTGTGGGCTGGAGGTGCTCGTCATGGGGCACAGGAGCTTCAAGAAGGCCCCTGGGATTACCCTGCAGAACTGGCCACATCTGCCTTGCTCTGGCCCAGCAGCTCTCACCTGGATCAGGGGAGCCCTCCCCACTCACCCCGCTGCCTGTCCTCCCAGCAGCGGCCACCAGAGGGCGCCCTGAGCACCGAGTCTGCTTCTGGACCCCTCAGCTCCCACCTCCCTGGGGCCAAAGCCAGTCTTGCAGCCCTCAAGGCTCTGCACTGCCTGCCAGTCCCCTCTCCATCTCCCCTGCGCCCTATCTGCCTCTCCTTCCTCTGCTCCAGCCACACAGGCTCCTGGTGCCTGTACTGTGTGCCCACCCCCATCCTGCCCCAGTGCCTTTGCATGGCCATGCCCTCTGTGGGGCAGGGTCTTCCCTCAGGTACCCTACAGCCTCTCCCTCCATATCTCCCCGGGGGCCGGGCTGGATCCCAGCTGTTGCATCCGCTGGTTCTGCCCAGCACCCAGCAGGACTTGGCACAGACAGATAGGTGGACGGGTGGGTAGATCTCCAGGAGACTCCCAGCAGGGCCATGGGGGTCAGAGGACCCCGAGCTACGAGCCTGCGCCAGGTGAAGTCTCTGGCCACAGTCCCATCAGCCAGTGAGCACGGCCGAGGGCCCCCACCTTTCTCCAGGACTTGGAGTCTGGAGAATGAGATGCAGTAGAAAGGAGGGATAAAGCCGGGCGCGGTGGCTCACGCCTGTCACCCCGGCACTCTGGGAGGCTGAGGCAGGAGGATCCGAAGTTCAGACTCAGCCTGGACAACTGCAAGTTAGCGAGACCCTGTCTCAAAAACTAAAAAGTGCCGAGCTGTAGCTCCGTGTGAAGGCCCTGCACTCCACCGCAGTGCAGCAAAGGGGGGGCTGGCTCCCCAGGGCTGCCACAACCCCCACGCCAGGGCCCCACCCCCCGAGGGGCGGGTAGGAGGCAGGGGTGGCCCGGTAGTCGGGGTCGGGACCTTCGGGAAACCCCAGGGCCCTGGCAGCTCCAGCCTCACAGCTGAAAGCCCGTGTGGTCACAGCTTCAGGGGCGAGGTGAGGGCCAGGACCGACACCTGAGCCTCAGGACCTGTCAAGCCACGGGGGCCCCCGGTCGCATTATCTGGAGCACCCCACACCACTGGGGCCACCAGCGAAAGAGCCACTTCACCCAGGGGAAACTGAGGCACGGAGCAGCCCCTGAACCCCTCCAGTCACCCTCCCTCCTGCTTCTAGAATTCGTGGCCTAGAGAGGCCCGCCCTCAACATTGGGGACCTGTGCAGGGGGGCAGAGCCAGGCGGGGCAGAGCTGGGGGGAGCCGTGGCACCCGAGACAAGAAATGACAGCCCCCCACAGATTTTTTAAACTGCCTTTTCCCTTCCCCTACAGGGGTCTTCCTAAACTATATTTTACAGGTTTTTTTTTTCTACCCCAATATGTAAAACACCCAGGCCACAGGGTTCAAAAGATCCCAAAAGGTGTTCAGAATACATCTCACCCCCCAGCCCACGGTCCCCGGAGGCCACCAGTCTGCCCAGGTCTTTCTGTGTCATGCCAAGAAACATGAAGCCGTATCAGGCCCCCCGCCCCAAGTTCCAGAGTTCTCGGGCTGCCAGGGGCAGTGCATGCTTTCCTCCTGTCCTGTCCTGTCCTGTCCTGTCCTGTCCTGTCCTGTCCTGTCCGGTGGGCGCCTTTCTCCTCCTCCCTGCAGTGTAATACTCCACCCTGCAGCAGGCATCCCGGCCACCCCGAGACGCGGGGCTGGACCCGCGGCACCGAGTGACGGCCCGGCCCTTTGTATTTCCTGTTCTGACTTAGGCATCCTGCTGGTGTCAAACTTGCAGTCCTCCTGCCTCAGCCTCCTGAGTAGCTTGGATAACAAACATACTCAAATCCTTTCGTTCCTGCAGACCCACGCAGGATGATTTTCCGGCCTGAAGCCCCCTGTGGCCCTGCCTGCCTGGCCGTCTCCTCCCGAAGGCTTGTGACAACCGTCTTCCTGTCTCCCTAACTTAGCTTTTCCCAGAATGTCACGCAGTTGGAGTCTACACCGGGTGGCCTTTTCAGACTGGTATTTTTTTCATTTAATAAGATGCCGTGAACCGGGCGTGCTGGCGCCCTTCTGTAATCCCAATATTTGAGAGGCTGAGGCAGGAGGACCACAAGTCCAAGCCCAGCCTGGGCAGCTTCACAAGGCCTTGTCTCAAAAAATACAGCGGGCTGGGGACAGCACGGGGGCCGCCACGGCCTTTGGGGCGTCTCTGCACATCTCAGAGCCCCACGGCCAGGAACGAAGCCCGGGATGCACCTCTGAGTGGCCGGTGTGGGGGCGGAAATGACCCCTTGCGGTCCGTCCTCGGACAGGGTGGTCAGGGGACTTGGCCGGGGCGGAGGAGCGAAAATCTCTGCCCGCTGCCTTTGGGCCTGGCCGGGCACCCGGAAGCCCGCTGTGGACGGTGAGCAGCAAGCTTCCTGGGCTCCGCACCTCCCGGCCAGCGGGCGTCGGCAGCGTCCTGGATTGTGGCCACGCTAATAGGCGTGTAATGGGAGATCATTATTTTAATTGCCTAAATTTTTAAATAGACATTTGTCGAGCTGCCTCCTGAATGCCTGGATGCCAAGCGTGATTCCAGCACCCTTCTCCTCCCAGTGCTGGGAATGGAGCCCGGGACCTCTGCACGGAGCTGGTCCCAGGCTTGGTGCTTCCAGCTTTCAGACTGGGTCGCACTGAGTGGCTTGAGGCCAGGGCTGAACTTTTGATCCTCCTGCCTCAGCCTCCGGGGTGCTGAGATGACAGGTGGGGGAATCACTTCACCAGACAGCTACAAATCAGGATGAGCACAGCAGGAGTCCAGAGGAAGCCCGTGGCCCAGCCTGGTGTTCAAGGAGGCTGCCTGGAGAAGAGGGCGCTGAAGGCTGCGTAGGAGTTTGCCAGAAGGCGAAAGAATGGCTCTGGTGTGCTGGCGCAGCTCGAGGGTCGCCTGGGCCGCACAGCGAGACCCTGCCTCAGGACAGCAGCACAAGGGTAGGGGGCGGAGGTTCGGCGGGCAAAACCCTGCTCCAAAGAAAACCGAAAAGGGCCGTGGGTGTACCCAGCGCAAAGGCCCTGGGTCTCGGTACCAAAAAAGCCCACCTGAGAAGTCCCTGGCGTCCCCCAGTACTTACTAGTGGGGGGGGTCTTGTCCGGCTGCTTGGCCTCAGGGAAGCCTCCACACTGAGAAACTACAGTTCCCCGGTCCCGGGTTCGAATCCCGACCCTGCCACTGGCCTGCTGTGTCCGTGCCTGCACTCGCCTGGGACCGGCTCACCCAGCGGGGAGGACGAGGCACGCTGGTCCCTGCCCGCGGCCCGGCCGGCCGGCCATTTCTCCAGCGCTCACCCCGGGATGGCGGCCCTGGTCTCCCTCCTGGCCCCGCAGGGTGGGGCTGAGCGGGAACAGAGGCTAAATTTAGTCCGATGACACCGCTGGCCGCCCGCCTCGGCCCCACATCCCCAGCCAAGCCGAGGTTCAGAGCCTCCCCCGGCCGCCGGCCGACATCCGCGAGCCTGTTTATCCGTCCTCCCGGCCAGAGCATTCTTTGCCTGCCTGCGCCTGTCGCTGCCGGCCTCTGTCCAGGCCCCGCGTCTGCTGCTCACCTGAGACCCTGGAGACGGAGACAGGAGCGGGCGGCAGGGCGGGAGGGACAGGCAGGGGACCAGGGGGTTAGGGTTAGGGCGCTGAGGGGACAGGGAGGAGATTCTCCCATCCATCCATGCGTGCATCTGTCAGTCCATCCATCCACCGTCCATCCAGGCGGGGCTCTGGGGGAGGGCGCTTGTTTCCTTTCCTTTTTCCTTTTCTGGGGTTCCTGGGGGCTGAGCCCCGGCCCTGCCGCTGTGGTTCTCCTAAGTTGCCCAGGCTGGGCCCCCACTTGCAGCGCTGCGGCCTGGGCCTCCAGAGTGTTGGCTCCCAGGGGTGTTTCTGGAGCCCTGCTGTGTGTCCAGCACGTCCCAAGCCCCCCGTTCTAAGGGGACGAGACTGATGGACACGCTCCGGGGCTGACGTGGGTGGGAGAGGCGGGCAGGCAGAGCGGCTCAGGGCCGGCTCTGCAGGTGCGGGCTTCAGGGCACGCAGGGCAGAGGCTGCGACCTGGCAGGGGCGCACCTCAGCCTGCGGTCTCCCCGCGCCCCCCTGGCCTGGCTGATTTTTGCCAGCAGGGGGAGGGGTGCCCTGGAAGGCTCCTGAACACCCCCAGATCAACCCAGAAGGGCCGGCTGCTTTTTAACCCCTTCGTCCCCACAGATCAGCCGACTTTCCTTCCTCACCGAACAGCGTGCCCGCCTCTCCCGATCCTCACGCCCCACGTGCCCAGCCGGCGCCCCCAAACTGTGCAGGCGGAGAGAAAGGCCCCTTTGTCCCAGCCCTGGTCCCTGGAATTCACCCCTATTGTCTTTTCACACACCTTTTGCAATAGCATGTTTTTATTGTTTTGTTTTTCCACTTCACAAGAGATGGCCCCACGGCTTTTATTTGCAGAAATTGGAAAATGAAGCATGTCCGGCCCCCACCCTTCACCCACCGCGAGCTGAAATTCGAGCTGTGTGAACCTGGCAGGGGTGCAGTGCCCCGAGCAGGAGGACCCCTGGGTGCAGGGGCCCAGGGTGAGGATGGGCCGGGGGCGGGCGGCAGGCAGGGGCTGCCAGGATTCTGTCACCTGGGCTCCCCCAAGCCCTCCTGCACCGTGCCGACTAGCTGGGAGACGCCGGGTCTGAAAAACATGACAGGAGTGGAAACTGAGGCCCAGAAAGGGTGCCTGTTCCCTGCCTACAATCCTGCTCTGCAGAGAGGGCTCCCAGCACTCGGGAGGATCGGGAGTGTGAACTCAAGCTGAGCCACTTAGTGAGACCCTGCCTCATAATAAAACATAAAATATGGGCTCAGGATGTAGCTCAGTGCAGAGGCCCTGGGTTCAAATCTTAGCACCACACAGGCACGCATGAGCACACAGGGACCCTGGAGGGTGGTGGAAGGAAAATCAGTATGTGCCAGGTCACTGCAACCTCCTGAAGAGGGCACCAGCCTTGGCTCCACTTTGCAGAGCAGATGACTGAGGCCCAGAGATGGAAGGAGTCACGAAGGTCACAGAGCTGCCAGCAACCAAAGTCTGTTATCCAAATCTTGCCAAGGCAAGAGCTCTGGGGCCAGATGGTCCCAGATCCCAGCCAGGCTCCAAACTATAGGCGCTGCAGGTAGATTAAGACAACTCTTCCAAAAAAAGAACTTCTAAAACATTCTACAACACTAGAATACTCTAGAGCATTCTGGGCTAGGGAAATCGGTGTTCTCTGGGGAACTGTACAGGACACTTGGTTGGGAGGGGACTCATGAATTCCAAGTGCTCCTATAGCCTCAATTTCTGCACCTTCACAATAAATAATCAGAGAAACCAGAGCCGGGCGTGGTGGCGCAGGCCTGTCATCCCAGCACTCGGGAGGCTGAGGCAGGAGGATGGTTGAGAGTTCGAGACCAGCCTGGGCTACAAAGTGAGCCCAAGGCCAGCCTGCACTGCATAGAGAGACCCTGTCTCAAAAAAAGAAAAAAGAAAAGAAAAGAAACCAGGTGTGTTTTAACTGGGCCCAGGCAGGACGGGAGGGACCTTTGGTGGTGAGGGTATGGGGGGCCTCTGCCCAGCCCACCTGTGACCCAGGCTGCACCGGCCTCTGCCGCCACCCACACCACACACCTGGGCCTCTCTCCCCGTCCTGGATGCAGGCCCAGCTCCCCAGCAGGCTGGGGCAGGGCTGGCCCCGGAAGGGGGTGCTGTGAGGCGGACACGGGGTGCTCTGTCCCCCCCACCCCTGAGGCCCACCTGCACCAAGAATAAGGTTTGAGAATGGAACGTTTCCTTTTCAGAACTTCTGGAACTTTCTCTGGGACTCAGAGGGGTTTGGGGGGCCCTGGGATGTCCACCCCAGCCCAGGGAAACCCAGGGCGCCCCCTCTCAAAGCCGAGCACCAAATGGGACCCCATGGCCCCTCCCCACACCCTTCCACCAGCTGTCCTTGGCACCAGCAGCCTGGTGAGGGGGGGCTGGGGGACCCCAGGGAGCAGAGCCCCGTTAGGGCACAGGTGGCCCCACCACATCCCAGACGCTGGCCCCAGCTTGTCCTGAGCCCGCAGGAGGGGATCCCGGGCCCCAAGCCGGCTCCGGGCCCGGCCCTCTGCCAGGGAAGCTGGCCTGCGGAGCGGTGCCCAGAGAGGGTCGGGGAGCCCCCGGGCCACACAGCACAGCCGGGTGGCCTGGACTCCCGGCCCAGCGCTTGCCCCACCCTCGCCCGCTTCCCAGCTGCGCTGGCAAGGTGAGTCCGGAAAGGGGAGGCAATAAACCCAGTGAGGGCAGGAATACGGCTGTCCCCAGAGCCTGCGGCCTGAGGACACGGACACATGACCGAGGGGCTGAGGTGGCAGGAGCAGGCCAGGCGGGAGGGAGGGAGGCTCCCGGATGGGGCGGGCCGGCGGACTCGGCCGGGATCCAGGCCAGGGTGGGCGGGATGAGCGGTGCGAAGGTCCCCTCGACCCCACAGGACAAGCCCTGCTTGGGCTTGGGGTTCAGTCCAGGCCAGCAGGAAAGCTCGGCTGGGCCGGGCACAGCGGTCCAGCAGCCCCCCACTGCCCGTGAGCTGAGGCCCGGGGCCAGGAGGCCGAGGGGCGCCGTGTCTGCACCTGGCCCCGCCCTGACCGGGGACAGGTGGCCACTGCCCCCAGGGTCTCGGCTCACCCTGACCGCGGGTGCGTGGCGAGCCCCCTCCAGGACAGCGCCTGCCCTGCATAGGTGGATGCAAACCACCGGCCGAGGCCTCCTCTGGCTCCAGTCCCAGCTGTCACAGCTGCCAGGCAGAGGCCTCCGGGCACCTTCCTGGCGCGGCCCCAGGACAGACAGCTCCTCTCTATTCCCCTGGGGCATCTAAGGCGCAGCGGAGCGGCGGCCTCTTCCCAGGAGGGCGTCCTCCTGGGCTCTTCCCCTGGCCGGGAGGCTCACTCCCTGCACAGACAGGGGCAGGGCCGGGGGTTGCCTAGAGATCTCAGCCAGTCAAAGAAAAGCGCCAGGGGTCCCAAGCTGATACACACGGTGCCATCAAAAACTAAAGTGGGGGCCGGGGTGAGCTCAGCGGCACAGCGCCTGCCTGGCAAGCGCAAGTTCGATTCCTGGTACCAAAACAAAACAAAGCAATGTATGGGGAACCATGGCTTCCCCTCCCATAATCCACTGTGCTCTTCCTCTCCAGTTTGGGCCTGGCAGGATGGTGGTGGGACCTAAGAATCCACCTTCAAAAGTGCCTCCGGGGAATGGGCATCAAACCAGGCCTCTCAGGAATTTGAGGAGATCTGGAAGTCTGCTACCAACAAGATGGGGAGCTCCAGCGGTGCACACTGATTCCAGGCTCAACGAGGCTGTCAGTAAAGGAGCAGGCCCGCCCGCGTGGGAGCCGTGGACGGTTGTGTAGAAAACGCACTGAGGAGAAGCCAGTCCCCGGCCGCCTTCGTGTCTTTAGTCATGGCTGCCCCAGTTGGCTCAAAAGTCAGACTTCCGAGCCCTCCTGACTTCGGAAAGGACCCAGAACCGACAGGGTGGATGTGACAAGGTCCGAGAATAAGGCGGATAAAGACACCAGGACCGTTTTCCAAGCCGCCTTCTGCTGGGCGGACCTGAGCAGCAGCTGAGGATCTGGCAGGACATGGCTGCAGAGCGGTGACCAGGGCAGGCAGCACGCACCGAGCCAGGGAGAGAATTGCCAGGGAGGGCTTGTGTGGCAGTGTGGCTCCCTTTACATTTTAAAGATGAAACAGTCAGCATGTGCTGGGCCCTGAGGGATGACCAGGAGCCCGCAGGAAGCAGGCTGTATCTGCACAGATGCAAACACAGCTTTTCTGTTGGTGTTTCTCTGGAGGCAGGGTCTCACTCGAGTGCACTTGAATTCGAGGCATCGTCCTGCCTCAGCCTCCCGAGTGCTAGCACGACTCGTGGACGTCACTGTGTCTGGCAGGTTGCTATATCTGAGATTGCAAATGCCTATGAGGAGCCAGGAACTCTCCCTCCAGGGCTTTGATGTCCACAGGAGCAGGCTGACTGGCCAGGGGCCCAGGACACAATGACACCAAGACTGACGTGCAGGAACTTATGTTTCAGTAAGTCCCACACAACCCAGCCAGCTGAGGGGTAAGCACTCAACAGACGCAGTGATCTGAAAACCCCCGGCCCCAGCCAACTCCAGCCCCCTGCCCTGGAGAACAGAAATGGTTTCTAGGACAGGGACGTTCCACGGTGGAAGACCGTCTTCTCCCAAAGCCAGCCTTCCAGGAGCTCAGGGGACACCTACATTTCTCCAGAGACCTGGAGGACTCCTGCAGGAACGGGCCGGCTTGGCACAGCACACTCATCATCCTGGTGCGCTGGAAGCTAACGGAGGAGGATGGCAAGCTCAGGGCCAGCCTGGGGGACTTAGTGAGGCATTGAGATCCCATCTGAAAAGTGCAAAAGTGTAACTGGGCATGATGGTGCCCGCCTATCATCCCAGCGCTCGGGAGGCTGAAGCAGGAGGATTACTGCAAGTTCGAGGCCAGCCTGGGCTACACAACAAAACTCTTTGTCTCAAAAAGACAAAATCAATCAATCAATCAATCTGTAAGTAATAAGCTGGGCATGACGCAAGTGCTAAGGCCCTGGGATCGATCACCAGTACTGCAGAAAAAGAAAAAAGGAGGGGGAGGGGGAACAGGAGGAGCAGAGGAAGAGCACAGATTGGTTTTGAGTCATCCCAGCCCCAAGACCTGCGCCCCTGTGCCGACTGTCTCTGGCTCGTGGCCCTTGGCCCTTGTCTTCCCTGCCAGTGCCTGAGCCATGCGTGTGGCCCCTAAATGGGGAGCACCCTCCCGCAGGACCTTTGCTGCCTCAGGGACTATGTAGAGACTCTGCTTCCAGCTGGAAATGGTTTTCTGTCTTTTTTAGAGAAGGGAGAGTGGGCTCGGGTGGAAAAGTGGAAATTCTGCTCACCCACTTTCCCCTCCCGCTGCCCCTCCATGGAACCCCGGTGCCCCCTGCCACCCACTTTGAGAACTAGTGGTTTGAGTCCAAATTTGCCCCTGTGGAGAAGTCACCTGTGTGCCTCTCCCCGGCACAGATGGCGCCTGGTGCTGTCTGTACCACTCCTGTGTGGTCCAGCAACACAAACTGGGGAGGGCCCGACTTTACTTTGGAAGGCGGGTGGGCTGCATTCCCAAGGGCCACCCTGTCAGCTGCCGACCAAGTGCACAGGGCCACATTGGGGCAGGCTTTGGCTGGGGCCCCACTTCCTTCTTCCTCGTCTCGCTCCAACAGTGTCCCCGGGAGCACGGTCTCTGCCCTTGGTCTCCGCACAAGTGGCCTGTGGCCCCCAGGTAAGGGCTCGGGTGACACATTCGCACCCACCCCAGCGCGTGCGTGTGACCCCGGGACGGGCTTCTCCCCTCTCCTCTCTGCCCCGAACCGCTGGCCCCCTCTTCCTGCGGCCAGGCTGCTCCCAAGGACACTGGGGTCCACTGCGTGGGGTGGGACCCGGAGCTGGGTGATAGCCTCAGTCACAGCCGAGGGTCCCCAGGCACCAGGTAGACGGGGTGGCTGAGGGGACGGAGGCCCTGATGGCTTTGCCCCCCAGGACACCGTGGTGTCGCCTCCCTGCCGGCCAGGCTGTGGGTTAGAACCGGCCCCTGGCCCGGCCCCGGGACGGGAGGATGGAGCCTGGTGCGCTGTGTGGATCCGGCCCTGCGTGCCTGGGTGCGGGCGTCTGCCTTGTTTTCTGTGGTGGCCCAGCAAAGTACCATTTTTCAAGCTGGCATGGGAGAGTTCCAGCTGTGCCGAGTCATGTCATCTTAATTCCTGATTCCTGAAAAAGGACAGTGACGCTCCTGATGGCATCCCCAATGCGGTTAACCTGGTCAGTCACCTTCTTCCCAGGCGCGGTCCCTGCCCCTGTAACGCTGTGTCCTCCCCTCTCCCGCAGCTGTCCTGGCCCATGGAGTGGCTCCGGGGTCCCTGGCGGCACTGTCTCTCCGGGCTGCTCTTACAGCTGCTCTTGTCCATCTGCTTCTTCTCTTACCTGAGGGTGACCTGGGACCCTCCCACGGGGTCCCCTACACCCGCGCCCAGCTCGGAAGACGTGGTCCCCACAACTCCCCAGAGGACCCCAGGGCTGGCTTCCACCACGCAGCCCCCCGCACCCCGGGGCCTGCTCATCCTGCTGTGGACCTGGCCATTCGGCCAGCCAGTGGCTCTGTCCCGCTGCTCGGAGATGCGGCCGGGCACAGCCGATTGCCGCATCACCGCCAACCGCAGTGTGTACCCCCAGGCCGATGCGGTCATCGTCCACCACCGGGACATCAGTTTCAAACCCAAGAGGGAGCTGCCACCCTCGCCTCGGCCACCGGGCCAGCGCTGGGTGTGGTTCAGCTTGGAGTCCCCCAGCCACTGCAGGCAGCTGGGGGCCCTGGACGGCTACTTCAACCTCACCATGTCCTACCGCAGGGACTCGGACATCTTCACGCCCTACGGCTGGCTGGAGCCCCGGGACGCCCAGCTCCCCGCCCCGCCCCTCAACCTCTCGGCCAAGACCGGGCTGGTGGCCTGGGTTGTGTCCAACTGGAAGGAGAACTCGGCCCGGGTGGGGTACTACAACCAGCTGCGCCTGCACCTCCCGGTGGACGTGTACGGCAGGGGCCACCTGCCCCTGCCCCGCCAGGACATGCAGGAGCGCCTGGCCCGCTACAAGTTCTACCTGGCCTTCGAGAACTCGCAGCACCCCGACTACATCACCGAGAAGCTGTGGAAGAATGCGCTGGGGGCGCCCGCCTTGCCCGTAGTCCTGGGCCCCAGCCGCACAGACTACGAGCGCGTCCTGCCGCCTGACGCCTTCATCCACGTGGACGACTTCCCGAGCCCCCGAGCCCTGGCGCAGCACCTGCTGGCCCTGGACCAGGACGACGCCCAATACCTGCGCCACTTCCGCTGGCGGGACACGCTGCAGGTGGGCATCGGAAACTGGACCCTGGCTTTCTGCAAGGCCTGCTGGCGGTTGCAGGAGGGGCCCAGGTACCAGACAGTGGCCAGCATTGCAGCCTGGTTCAAGTGAATCGACCGGCTGGCCTGGCCTCCCCAGTGGAGCCCCCATCTTGGGGTTCACCTGATGAGTGGTGCAATTTGAGGGGGCCTTAAAACTTAAGGAGGGTTATTTTATTTTTCTGTTTGTTTCTTTTTGTCTTACTGAGCCAGGGCCTCCCCATGCAGTTAAGGCTGGCCATGAGCTCACTTTGTAGCCAAGGCTGGTGCAGAATTCTCAGCAATCATCCTGCCTCAGCCTCCCGAGTCCTGGGATTACAGGCTTGTGCTACCACGTCTGGCTTTTTTTTTTTTTTTTTGTACCTGGGATTGAACTCAAAACCCTGGGCTTGGCAGGTAGGCACTTGTTCTCCTGAGCCAAGTCCCCAGACCCTCTTTAAGGGGGTTTTAACTGTGTGGTGTCACCTATCTGGAGTCCCATCTGCCTTGGTCGCACTAGCAGGAGGAAATCTCCCGCGAGGCTCTCACTTGCTGTGATCACCCTGAGGGGATCTCAGCTGGCTGGGTTCTCAATTCCTGGGTCCAGCCTGCAGCAGGCTCCCCTGCTGGGGGCCCTTGCTGTGGTGGCCAGTCTGCCGGGAACCTCACCCCATCAGACCCACCATTGACAGCTGCTCTGGCCGTTTTTTCCCCGCTGGTGTTTCCTGCCCGTGGGCCCCGCAGACAGGCCCTGCTGTCCTTATTTCCCCAGTGGCTGTGACGGAAGGAAAAGGCTGTGTGTCCTTCTTGTTCTAGAATAACAGCTCTGACCACGGCGTGCTTTGGGCCATAACCAGGGTCACGTGGTGACATCCAGAGATAGCTGTGATTTTCACATATGGGGGAAAAGGGAAGGATGTCATCTAGTACAGTGCTGATTGCTGTTTGTGGCCTCATAAGAACCAGGCCACACAGCAGGTGTGAGGGGTGGCAGAGCAGTGGGGGAGGCTTCCTCTGTATTTCCAGCCTCTCCCCACCACTCACCACCACCTGAGCTCTGCCACCTGTCAGACCAGAGAGCACTGGATTCTCCCAGCAGCACAAAGCCCACTGCGACCTGCACACATCGAGGACTGACACTGAGTGACTTACGAGAATCTGGCTGATGACCTGAGGTGGAGCTGAGGCGGTGATGCTAGCCATGGGGAGGTGCTGCAAATGCAGATTCACATTAGCAGAGGTTGGACTGCCCAGAGACCACAAATCAACTGTTCCCACACTCATGTGCAAACCCTCTCAGGGAGCGGCAAGTGACATCCAGCCGCCACTGGTGGCAGGCTTCACAGTGCCAACTGAGTTGATGTAACTCAGTGGTGTAGCTTTATCTGGTGGCAGGCTTTAAGTCAGAGTCTGACAATGGTTTAGCCTGGATGCAGCCCTCTGAGGGCACTGACCTTCTCATCTGCATTTCTTTCTTGGACTGAGTTCTCGTCCCAGTCCCAGTTTCTGTGAGGTTACAGGCCAATCCCAGCCAAAATAACTTACAGGCAAATGTCACTGGAAGGCTGCTTAAAAACAGGCAAGGACCCAAAGACAAGCCAACAAAAGACTCTTCAAAGCGCCAATGAAAGGAAGGTGCAATTAAAACAAATTAGGGACAGGGCTGGGGATTTAGCTCAGCAGCATAAGTGCCTGCCTTGCAAGGGTGTGGTTGTGAGTTTGATCCCTGGTACCGAGAAATAGAAACAGACAAAAAAAATTAAAAAGAAAAGAAAGTAGCAAGAGCCCCCCCCCATCGTACTGGCTCACGGCAGGAAGAGATGTACGTGTGCCACGTGGCCTTGTAGAGTGAGTATAACCAGTTATCCAGCAAAGCCAGCACACCTTCCAGACTGCTCTGCCACCTGGGAGCCAAAGACCTGCTTTACAAGAAAACCCTTCAGAGTTTTTCACAAGGACAAAACAAAGCACCGATGGCCTTATGGTCGGCCACCATTTCATCCAGTGGGTCTGCCTATGGACCAGCATCCTTCTCGGTGCCCAGCCATGTGGGTAAAGCTACCGAGCCCTTTAGATCCAAAAGTGCCCACCCTGCTGCTGCCAAGCCTTCTCTTGTAGAATCATAGGAGCGGCTCCAGGTCAAGAGGTGCCAGGTGTCCCACTGAGCCAGCAGCATAACCGGGGTATGGCCGAGGGGCACTGAGTCGGCAGTGTCGGGGTTCGGGTCTCTGTGGTAGCCGGGGCTGCTGAGTCTGTGGTGCCAGCCACAAGGTTCCTTTCCGAGTGTTGCCGTATCAGAAGGGCAGGCAGGAAGATCACGTGTACTTCAGGTGCTACCCAGCACCACAGCGGTCAGCTCACCTCTTGGAAGGCCCCCTGCCCAGCAGGAGAGCTGCAGCGGCCCGCTGGTGTCAGCACAGGCTGGTCAGGAGTCGCTGCGGGCCAGGAGGCTGTTCCGGTGTCACTTTTCAGGGCAGACAGGGGGCAGAGATGTGAGTGTTCATACTGTGTCATCCCCAGCAAAAGGCGGGTGGCTGAACACTGTCACTCAAACACAACAGTGTTTGGCAGGACCTGATTTAAATGATTGTTAGTGATGACATGTCAACTTCACTTCATAAGCACTGCTAAGCAGATCAGAAGGTCCTGGGTGTGTCTCCTGGCAAACTGGGGTGACACACCCAGTCGTGGCTGGAACCAAGCCACAGGCTCCCAGCTCGGCCAGCACGGAAAAGGAAAGGATGCTTTGCTCTTTCTTGGAGAGGCCAGGGTCTTCAGCATTTCCTGTGTGCTTTGGCCTGCAGTGTTTTTCAGGCTTCCCGTGCAGACTCCAGCATTGAGACCCGCACCCGGGACTCTACCGGGAGCTCTGGGACCTTTGGCCTTGTGGTGCTGCCGTATCTTCCGAGGCTCCAGTGTGCAGATGGCCATTCTGGATTCATCCATTTCTGTGCACCATCCTGTGTTTGATCCTGTAAGCTGCTTAATAAATCCCTGTGTTCAAGGCTCTCACTGGTCAATATTTGATTTTGTTTCCTGTTTTTCCTGTTTGTATTCAGTTTTGTCAGACCGGATCTCAGTATGTAGTTCAGGCTGCCTGGAACTCACTATGTAGCCAAATTTGGGCTCAAACTCACAGCGATCCTCCTGCCTCAGCCTCCAGAGTGCTGGGATGATAGGTGTGCCCCATCCGGCCCAGCTCGCTGGTCTGTGGACAATGAATTTTAGAATTATTTTCATAAATATGACAACGCAGTAATAGTAGAAACCGTCTTCTAGATGAAACGCACTTGGTCATCATGAAATTGATCACAACCCACTGAGGATTCTTTTGCTCAGTTCACATGGAAATTACAAATCGGCAACATGCAGCTCCACTAGGGGACATCGGATAATGCTGGATGTCAGCAGCTGATCCTGCTGGCTGCTGGTCGATGTGGCTTCCAGCTGTTGCTGGCTCTCACTGGCTTGTGCTGGACATGCTAGGCCAACTCTGCCTGGTGCCGGCCCTGTTGCTGACCTCTGTCGTCTGCAGGTCTCTGGGGCTCTAAGGGCTAACCCCGCTTAGCTTGGCTTATTCTTTCTCTTGAGGCCACTGCTCCGTCCACACCGCAGGATAAGAATCCTGAGTAGATTCACAGGACTCTCCGAGCACTCGCGCCTGAGAAATTATCCAGAGCGGGGCCCCAGAGCAAGCCCGCTTTAACAGAAGCCTTGCCTCAGTAGAGGAGACCCTGCATGGCAAGCGACCACCTAGACTGACTCTGGAGTGCCTGCGTGCGTGCATGCGGGCCAGTGTTGCTTATATAGCAGCTGCAGGCCGGTGATTGGTCCGAGCCCAGGGCTGTGATTGGTGCAGGGCTCCAGGGCGGCCCCAGCGGGGGTGGGCTCTCGAGTGAGGGGGCGGGGCTGAAGCCAGGGAACCTTCTGGAAGGGCAGCTGTGGGGGCTCGGGGTTGCTCTCAGTGGGCCCAGATCCTTCCCCCTGGCTCGGCCCGCCACGGCGCCCCTCCCTTCTTCCAAAGGCGTCTTGTGGAGAGGAGCGGACGCCCCCTGACGGTAATGGTGCCGTGCCCCGCGCGCTCCCCTGGGTTGGGAGGCGGCAGGATCGGGTCCGGGTCCGGCCTGCCGCCTCCTGCTCCGGGCGCGTCTGCTGTATTACTCGGGGCCCCGTGGCCGGGGCCGGTCAGGGCGCCCGCGGCGGGGTGGGGCGCAGCTCCGGAGCCCCTCGGAAGGGGTGCAGGCCGGCTGCTCCCCGCCAGCCCTGAGCGCCGGAGGGCTGCACCGCGGCCTCGGCTGCTGCCCTATTTCGTGCTTGGAGGCCCCAGAACGTCTCGGGCTGTTGCTGGCCTGGGCTCTGGCCACTGGCGTAAAGATTAATCTGCCCCGAAGCCATGCTGGCCCTCGCCGCAAACCGCGCAGGCCCGCGCCGGCCCCGCAGTTGCTTTCTTGCTCACCCCGTCATTGTGTCTCTGTGCGCCTGAGTCGCCCTGTGTAATTCAGCCTGGCCCTGGGCTCTCTGTGGCCGAGTCTGACTTCAAGTTTGCAGCCACCCTCCTGCCTCAGCCTCCCGCGCGAGTGCCCGGACTGCAGGAGGGCGCCACCCTAAGGCGCCTGGCTTTCTCAACGGATGTTATGCCAATTTATTAATATTGGTGATTGCCCGCAGTGACTAACCCCTCAGCACGGCGGAATGTTCCAGGATAGACAGGAGAGGAAAGGAGTGGGGAACCGCAAACGTGGGGCTGCCGCCCCCGCCCTGCCACCCAGGAAACCCCGGGGCCATCATGGAACCCTGTCTGAGAACCACGGGCTCCACTCCCACTTCGAACTGGAGGAGCAGCCGGCCAGGAGCCCAGAGACACCCAGCATGGCCCAGGCCGAGGTGGGGCCTTGGACTTTGCCCAACCCAACAGTCTTCCCAAGTGTAATTGGGAAGGATTAGAGGAGCCCTGCTGTTGGCTTTTGGGTGAGAGGCCAGGGCCATACAGAAAGGTCACCTGATGCCCGGTGCAGAGGGCCAGACTGGGCCGAGCGCTGGCCGTGGCTCCACTTCCTTCTGCCATCATCGCCGCAAGAAGCAGCTGTCCCTTGTCTTTGCCTCCCAGGTAAGGGCTCTCAGGACAGATTCTCAACCCCCCAGCGCCCTGGTGACTCCAGGCTGGGCCTCTCCCCTCGTGTCCACGCCCCTGCCTTCCCGTCTTCCTGCAGCCTGGCTGCTCCCATGGAGGCTTTGGTCCGTGTGTGTCTCTGGGCATGTCTCGCCTTCACCATGATGTCCCCCCCGAGTGGCACCTTCAGCTAGGTTTGGTGACGCATGCCAGCACTTTGGAGGCTGAGGCAAGGGGATCCCGAGTCTGTGGCCTTCCTGGGAAAATTGGGAAGAGTCTGTCTCTAAAATATGCAGGCAAAAAAGGCCATTTTTCAGTTTTTTAGGAAAAACATTTTGCTGTCCGGGCTGGGTGACATCTCATCCCAGGCTTTGGTTCTCCCGTTCCACCCTCGCCCAAGCCCCTGCCCAGGCCTGGACTGTCTCTGAGGAGCGGCCACCACAGACGCATGTCCACGTGCATGGCAAGTGCATGTGATTTTTTAGGCAGGGTCTCGCTGTGCAGTCCAGATTGGCCTAGTACTCACTGTGACCCTCCTGCCTCAGCTTCCCAAGTGCTGGGATGACTGGCGAGCACCACCACCCCCAGCTGTGTTTTTTATTTTTATTAGCACATATGTTCAGGCTGCCGTGCTTCCATTCCCTGTGGGGAGCTGGACCTGTGCACAGCACATCTTAATTCTTCCTCTGGTCCCCGTCCCTCCCTCACGCCAACGCTCCATCCCCTCCCATCTGAGAGAGCCCTGTCTCCTGCTTCCCATGATCTACTTTTGATTTTGATCCTTTTTAATTCAAGATTCTCATGGAAGAGAAATCATACAGCGTGTAAGCCTGTGCATTGGATTTTTTTACCTAGCATCATGGTTCAGGGTGCCCTCAGTTGCCTACAGACGACTCACCCCGGTATATCTTTAAGGCACGATAATTCTCCATCGTGGGAGATTGCCTCGCTTTACCTGCCCCTCGAATCTTACACCGCTTGCAGACTTAGCTAGCGTGATGTCCCCAATGCGTCTGAGAAGGTACCTAGAATGGGGGACGTCGGGGCCAAATGGAATTTCTAGTTTGGGCTTCCTGAGGACTCTGCACACTGATTTCCAGAGTGCCTACGCCACTTTATATTTACCTACAGAGCAGAGGGGTTCATTTTCTCCTTCACACTCACCAGCATTTGTTGTTTGATTTCCTGATGACAGCCATCATCAGGACGAACCCTCAGTGTTTTTTAATTTGCAACTCTCTAATGCAGAGTGATGGTGGGCACCTCTTCATGTATTTATTGGTCATTTACCTTTCTTGTGTGGCTTGTGTATTCATTTTACTATTTTGTGACTGGGTCTCTTATTTAAGTAGGGGGTCTAATTTTTTAGTTTCTTTGCATCGTGTAGGTTGTCTTTTCTTCAGTCATTTTTTGCTGTGCAGAAGCTTTTAAATTTGAAATGACCCCATTAGCTGGTTCTCAGTCCTGTATTTCCTGTGCAACCAGGGTTCTGCTCAGAAAGTCCTTGTCTACACCTATGATGTCAAAAGATTTACCTGTTTTTCTATTCCAGCAGGATAAGTGCTTCTGTTTTAAAATTTCCTTCTTTGATCCATTTTTATTTTAGTTTAGTACATGGTGAGAGATGACAGGTCTGCACTCAATCTCCTGTCAGTTTTCCCAGCACCACTCATTACAGAGGCTGTCTTGCTTCGGTGGATGTTTTTAGCCCTTTTGTCAAAGATTAAATAGTGAATGTGCCTGTGGTAGTTTCTGTACCCTCTCTTCTGTTTCCTGGCCCTCATGCTGCTTTTTGTGTCAGTACATGCTGGGGTTTTGTTGTGTTTTAACCACACTGTTTTTGTCACCGTAGCTCTGTAACATACTTTCAAGCCTGGAACTGCGATGCGTCCCCGTTTACCCTTGTTACTCAAGATGGCTTTTGTTGTTTCGGGCCTCTCTTATTTCCATATGAACTTTAAGATTGTTTTCCCCAGTTCTGCCAAGAATGCTGTTAGTATTTGATTAGGATTGTGTTAAATCTGTATGTCAGCCTTGAAGTGTGGCCATTTTGATACATTGCTTCTGCCTACCCAGGAGCAAGGGGCATCTTTCTGCTTTCTGTTGTTGTTGCTTGAGCAGGGTCTCGCTGTGTGGTTCAGGCTGAACTTGGCCGCATAACAGTCGTCCTGCCTCAGCCTCCCACATGTTGAGGTTACAGGCGTGAGCCACCCGCCCCGTCACCTTTCCAGTTTAGGTGTGCACTGCAGTTTCCTGTTCCAGAGCGCTGGCGCTGTCACTGTGGTCGTGTCGCACTTCCTTGTTTCAGTGAACTGCTATGTGTTTAATGTTTCTGGGTGCTACTGTGACTGGCATTTTTCCCGACTTTCTGCTCAGCAGGTTCAGTGTACAGGGACATTCTGCATTTTGACATGTTGACTTTGTAACCGGCTACGTTATTCAATGTAGCTATTGCTTTAGGAACCCTTTCAGTGCATTTTGGGGGATTTTCTGTACACAAATCATGTACCCAGCACGTGGTCATGTGACGTCCTGCTTTCCTATGCGTCTCCTTATTTTATTTCTTTCCCTGCATACCGTCCTTGCTCATGTTTGGTACTGTGTTGCACAGAGGTGCTGACGGGGATGTCTTTGTCTTGTTCTTGCTTTTGGAGGGAAAATTTTCACTTTTCCCCTTTAATGTGGCTTTTGTCAGACTGCAGTGAGGTCCTAGAATATGCACTTTCCTCAGTATCGTTATGTGAAAGGGTGAGGGGTTTGTAAAGGCTTTGCCCGTGTCTGTTTGATGTCCTTGCTTCTGTTCCTGTGGTGCGTTTTATCTGCTGACTTGCGTAACTCGAACCATCCTTGCATTCCTGGAATGAAGTCTACGTGGTCCTGATGTTTGATCTTCTTGAAGATTCGTTGGAT